GAATTCAGAGGGGAGGAGGGTATTGATGGTGGAGGACTTCGGAAGGAATGGTTTTTACTTCTCGTGAGAGAGGTATTCAATCCAGACCATGGTCAGTGTCTCACTCGTTCCATCTCAAGAATTATGTCTAACCTTTTGATCCCAGGGCTCTTTGTCTACGACGAAGACTCTAATTTCTGCTACTTCAACCCGAATACTTTCGAGACATCAGATCAATACTTTCTTGTCGGAGTAGTGCTTGGCTTGGCCATATATAACTCAACCATATTGGATGTCGCATTGCCACCCTTTGCTTTTAGAAAGCTACTCGCTTCTGCTCCTCCCCCAACCCTCGGGGCACCAGCGCACTTGCGTCCGACAATGAGCTACACTTTAGACGATCTAGCTGAGTTTCGCCCAGTCCTCGCGAGGGGGCTACGGCAATTACTAAGCTACGAGGGAGATGTTCAGTCTACATTTTGTCTCGACTTCGTGATTGAGGTTGAGAAATATGGTACTAGAGTTCGAGTGCCTCTTTGTCCAGGGGGCGAGTCGAAGATGGTGACAAACGCAAACCGGCGGGAGTACGTCGACCTTTATGTCAGATATCTGCTTGATACTTCGGTCAGCCGGCAATTTGAACCTTTCAAGCGAGGCTTCTTCACCGTATGTGCTGGCAATGCACTGACGCTTTTCAAACCGGAGGAGATTGAACTCCTTATCCGCGGTTCAGATGAATCGTTAGATGTTACTGCCTTGCAAGGGGCCGCGGCGTATACAAACTGGCCAATACACACGCCACCCGACCAACAGCCCACGATACAGTGGTTCTGGGATACGTTCGAGAGAGCTTCTATTACGGATCAACGTCGGTTGCTATCTTTCATAACAGGCAGTGACCGTATCCCTGCTATGGGTGCGGCATCTCTCGTAATCAAGATCAATTGTCTGGGCATCGATGAAGGGCGGTTCCCTTCTGCGAGGACGTGCTTTAATATATTAGGGTTATACCGCTACGCCTCACGCCAAAGACTGGAAGAATTTCTATGGCGAGCGGTTAACGAGAGCGAGGGATTTGGACTCAAGTAATAGTGTAGGACAGGTTCATGAGCTCATGACAGCATTTCAGAGGCGTTTATGGATTCGGGGCGCCCTTCGAAAATGGTGTACCGAAATACCCATGAACGGATACTTGAACAAAATCATATGCTACCAGTATTGTACTTGGATGGCAGGACTTCTCAGGACAAGAGGAGACCTGTAATTAGGGGGGGCGTTCGCACTGATTATACCCAGCTAGCTGTATTATTGCTGTACATGGCCATCATAGCGAATGATGAGTTCAACCTTTGCTTCTTGAATCAAGTATTAGTAGATAGCGCTGATGCGAATGATCTAATCTATCAAAATATTTAAGTACAGTAGGAATCTGCTTATAAAGCCATATACGAAGAGGTTCTACCAAAGCCCCGTCGTATTTAGAACCGATTAAGTGACACAGAAATATGCATCGCTGCATATGACGTCCCCAGCCGCTCGATATATGCTCATAAGATTTCTTACATGGTACCTATGAGTACTGGTTAATAATGGCATTGGTCAAGAATATGACTAACTGTCGAGCTTATTCCTGATTACAGATCCACCAACGTCACAGGGACTTTCAGGGGAGAAGACTAATATCAGATAGTCACGTAGAGCATGATCTATGATGTATCTCATATTTAGCATCTACTAAAATGGTTAATCTGGCTTTACTATGTAGATATCGATGGCATCGATGGCATCATTACGAAACTCATATCCCGAACAATCTCTCGTGACTGTTATACAGGGCATTGCTGACGGAGACCCATATATATAGGTAGGTATATATAAGAGTGAGGTGAAACTGCATTGCTATGCTTATTAAGACAGCCAGCATCGTAGGGTCAGGTTGGGTCTTTCGGCCCCCCCAGCTGGCATGAACATGCGGTCAGCCACTTTGGATTCGCAAGGCCCAATCGTAGGGGCTCTGGTGTACGAAAAGGGCAAACATGGACTCGTGGCTGACAAATAAGTTCCGGGATATGAGGGATGGATTAATTGGGTACTGGGTAGTAGTACAGGGGTTTGTTCTAAGATATTATAATTAGGTAGGTATGTATATCTGTGATTGTGAGGCATTCCCACTGGATAAAAGCTGGATGTTAGCTGTATGTTGAGATGATTAGTTTTGAGTGAGCGCTAGTTATGTGGAAACGTATATATATTCTGCCTTGAGGCGTTTTGTAAGTGCGCCGGTGATACTACATAGTTAACGAGCGAGATATATCTAGGTATTCTGCCAAGTGGCTGGGGTTATAGCTGAAAAGCGACTACAATGTATAGCCATGATCACCAATTCATAAATAATATTGATATACCTCGATTTCATTTATTCCCATGTAAAGACATTCTATAATGCGTATAAATATTGGAAAGTCATGTGTTTCGAGTTTGATGATGTGTAGAATTTTATTTATCTCATTGGCCAACATAGAGAAATATAGTAGAACCTCACAACTAACAGTTGCAACATTATACTCTAGGTTAGTAACATTGACTTTACCAGGTCTATACGGCCGCCTAGAAATAAACGCTCTCCTTTGTTTTATAATCGGCATTCAAAACAGAGCTCGCACAGGCTAAAATTACGAGGAATCGAAGTAAATGCCGCACCGGCTTTGTCGTGGCCTTTATCCAAACCTCTCGCGGGATAAGCCAGGGAGTATAATCAACAAACAGCTATTCGTCACTGAATCAATGCGGGCCGCATATACATGTAGAGCTCGTAATTGAAAAAAAAAAAAAAAAAAAAGAGCTCAGATTTTTAGCGCAATTGGCTCCGGCATCCGGAGCCGGGACCCACGAAATTACCGAAGACAGAAGTTCCAGATGGAGTCAAATTTCCACCGGAGATGGACGTGGCCTAGACGATGGAGCTATGTAATGTATAGCGCGGTTAACCGGCGCGGTGAGAGTCTTACTACGACTTGTATAGACTAGCAGATAGCCTTTGGGTGCTTCTTATGGCGCCCCTTGGATGCTGCGTTGCCGTGGGGAGTAAGAAACCAATGATCGGGCCTATTTTCTCCAGCCTTGTGTGGCGTTGCCATGGGCCAGTCATGACTTCACTAGAATAAGCTTGATTAGCGGGAGGATGCTGGTAAGATTTGCTTCTGCTTACTGCTATCTATGGCTTGCGTATGCTTCATTGGCACGTTTAGCCCTTGCCCATCCACATTGGTTGGATCAGGAGGTTGGCCAGCCAGGTGGAAGGTTTTTGTCATTTTTGCCATTTTCATCACACACATGCGATGTCGGATACAACGCATTCACATTCGACAGGTTGAGAAGTTAACTGCCTGTTGTTCTTGACTCACGGGTCACACGATAAGGCGTGACGATCAGTAGGAGCTGATGGCGAGCATTGATAGCTATTTATCAGCAGTCGAATATGATACACTAGTAACTGTAATCTCGAGAGGTCATACGGAACAGCTGCGGAGTAGCGTTGCTTCGAAACTCCGGTACCTGGCGGACCTTAGATGCATGTTGATGGAGGACCCTGAAGGCAACATCGAACTAAAAGTTGAGATAGATCTATGTCCGTATGTGGAATGTGTAAGCTGAGCCGCCAAACGCCGTAACGATAGTGGCATTAACTAGAAGTTCGCCATCCTATTCTCCCAGGTTTCGGGCCAACGCAACAATTTGTCTTGACTTTGTTTAACATTGGAGTCGCGACAAAGTAATTCTTACTCTCTTGTCTCAGCCAATTCGGCTATGCTTTGCAAGAGCCGAGCTATATCGGATATAATCGTGAGATGCGTCCCGTACAATGACCGAGATCCCGTTAGACATTCGTGCCATTTTCGTTTGACACAGTGATAAGATGTTTCTCGGCTATGGAAGAGTGACTTTGGATATACATGGATGTCGAAGCTTGGGTTGAAACTCTTGGGGGCTTTCAAGACCCTCTTTAAGACCTCAGTTTGAGAAATATGATAGTGTCTTTCCCATGGGTTTTGAGTTATTTTTCATGAGACGCATTTATTGATTTGGGGGTCGTCACTGATGGTCCTCGAATAAGGATCTGTGTGATGTCAACGGAGCTCATGTACACTGTTCTAGGAGCTCTCCGGAGTTACAAGCGCTATACATCTTACCCGGCTAGATGGGTTTTGTCCGTCATATGTAGGTACTCGCTTCGTATAGAGATCCCCTATAACAGAACAACGAAGAACAAAGAACGTAGAAGGACGAAAAATCATTTGTATCTAATTTGATATTGACTTATTGACTGTTATATGATAGAGGACCCCTATCTTGTGATTGCACGCTACTTCTCGTTTGATTTCTATTAAGTCAGCTCATGTCTCTCGCCATATAAGTCAACACATCATATTATGTAGAAACATCTGATGTTAGACGTGATTATGGATTATGTTAGCGTAGGCGCAACATGTCTGCATGTCCACTGTGTTGAGAGAGAAGCGCGGCGGGGTGCTGCGGATGTAACTAACAAGTACCGTTTATCAGGGAGTACAGTAGGAATTCCCCGAATGAGGTTGCTTTTTTACCCCTCTAAAAAATAATACATAGGTCCTGGCTAGTCTGGGTAGTCGCATGTGGGCAAGTGTTGGTAGGCTGTATGGGTAAGTGTTGTAAGGCCAAGTCTACGGGAAACCATAGGAAGTTGCCATGGGCTGCTTATGACTGCTACGGGAGGGATTAAGCACCCCACCTACCCACCTTGCCCACCTTGCTGCATCATATTTTTTCTTGGTAAGGTCTCGTCTCTCAACCAATTCCATTTTTATTTTATGTCGCTCATATGCCATCATAACACTAGTAAACCCCTCCATACCTATCCCTCTTTTACTCAACAACAACATATTTAATCTGGTCTGTCTACCTCTTTCAATTCTCTTCTCTTGTTATTTTTCTAATCAAGCTTCTAACCTAGTCCACTCCAGAGCCCAGGAAAATAGAACGTTGACCCTTTCTATTTAAATAATAGGTGAGAGAGCTAGCTTCCCCTCCCCCTCCCCTCCCCTCCCTGCAAACAGCTCGCTTCATTACCCCGCTATTGATTCTCGCATGGATGTTGTAACGTCGACGAGGTTTTGTTTCCTGCCCCGCCTACCTGGATCACTTGGCTTTGTTTGGAGTCTCGGAAGCTTCTTTCTGCAACGCTGGGATGCGAGATGAGACCAGCAAAAAATGGAATTGCTGTGCTACACAGTAGCAATTCTATTTTTATCCATTTCGGACGGCCGTGATCCATTGAGCTGAACGAATTCAAATACCTCGTCCCACGACTTATCCTACGAACCCAAATTCTCTCATCATCTATATCATACTCTTTATTTCTCTTGATAACTCAAACTCTCATCTAACATTATCCTTGCAGACTCAGTTGAAAATGGTTGTCAAGGTTGGCATCAACGGATTTGGCCGTATCGGCCGTATCGTCTTCCGAAATGCTGTCGAGCACGAGGACATCGAGATCGTTGCTGTAAACGATCCCTTCATCGAGACTCACTACGCTGAATACATGCTGAAGTACGACTCGACTCACGGCATGTTCAAGGGAACCGTCTCCCACGACAGCGATGGCCTCATTGTCAACGGCAACAAGGTCAAGTTCTACCAGGAGCGTGACCCCGCCAACATTCCCTGGAAGGATACTGGTGCTGAGTACATCGTCGAGTCGACTGGTGTCTTCACCACCACTGAGAAGGCCAAGGCTCACTTGAAGGGTGGTGCTAAGAAGGTCGTCATCTCTGCCCCCTCTGCCGATGCTCCCATGTACGTCATTGGTGTCAACGAGAAGACCTACGACGGCAAGGCCGATGTCATCTCCAACGCCTCTTGCACTACCAACTGCCTTGCTCCTCTTGCCAAGGTCATCCACGACAAGTTCACCATCATTGAGGGTCTCATGACCACCGTTCACTCCTATACTGCCACACAGAAGACCGTTGACGGGCCCTCCAACAAGGACTGGCGAGGTGGCCGTACCGCTGCTCAGAACATCATTCCTAGCAGCACCGGTGCCGCCAAGGCCGTCGGCAAGGTCATTCCTGATCTTAACGGCAAGCTTACCGGAATGTCCATGCGTGTTCCTACTTCCAACGTCTCCGTTGTCGACTTGACCATCCGTATCGAGAAGGGTGCCACCTACGACGAGATCAAGGCCGTTATCAAGGAGGCTGCTGAGGGTCCTCTCAAGGGTAAGCTATATTCCCACCTAATAATAGTAAATACAAACCAGGAACTAATATATTGTCGTAGGCATTCTCGCTTACACCGAGGACGATGTCGTCTCTACTGACTTGAACGGCAACACCAACTCTTCCATCTTCGATGCCAAGGCTGGTATCGCTCTGAACAAGAACTTCATCAAGCTCGTCAGCTGGTATGACAACGAGTGGGGTTACAGCCGACGTGTCCTCGATCTCCTGTCTTACGTCGCCAAGGTTGACGCTGGCAAATAATTTCCTACCATCTAATGAAAGAAAGCTCTGACGGCGTAATCAAAACGTGCGGGTGGGTTTTCGTCCAAGTAATGACTGCCAGGGAATATGGCTGGGCTCGGTTGAGCAGTACGACATTATTATGATTCATCATAGATAAATGAAATAAACAAAAAAAAAATCCATCTTCATATTGACATCCTCGTCATATTGTGGCTGTGAAATTGGTTACACTGCATAATAAGATTGCAAAATCATACCCTGTAGTATCACCACATAATTACTTCTATCTTCGATTCGCATCGACAATTGATCACCTCGAATTAATACGAAAGCAGCAATTGTAACTTCGAAAAGTCTCCATATTGCAATCCGCTTACGCCGATGTACCTATGATACACTTTTATATCGTAAATTACTCATCCGGTAGTAGTAGGTAAATAGTAGTAGTGTAATAGTAGCTTGCTTGGCCTGTCTCTCTTGTTCTCGCCTAAGCTACGAGCTTTTGGTATCCCATGTAACGCCACTGAAAAGGGGAAGAAACAAAACACCCAGATTATGCTCAGCTGATCTCCATGGCGTCACCGCCGGCGTGCCCATTAGCCACTGTCAGGTCGACGGCACCCGTTTCACCGATCAACCGCTTCTCTGACTGGTTTACGAACCCGACGCTGCGGGCGGGATCGTAAAAGAGCTTGAAGCTGCGCTGGACGTCTTCGACGGATACTTGCTTGGCCCTGCGCTTGGCGCAGACGAGTTGCGAGGTTGTGATTAGATTGCTGGCGTACCGGAGGCCGGCTTCTTGGCCGATCTTTGTTAGTAAGGCTAGGGCATCGGCTGATACGTCGACTTCCTCCTCGGTGGCGCGGAGGCCGAGGATCTGGCGGATCTCGTCGGGCGAGTAGGTCTGCGTCTGGATGATAACGACTCGGTCGAGGAAATCGAGGGGTAGACCGTGGGGGCTGCGGTAGTCTGTCCCGCGGATCTTGGAGTGTCCGCGGTTGCTGGCCATGATGACGATGGGGGCGAGATCGACCTCGAGCGCGCGGTTGATGTAGCTGAAGCACTCGATGTCGAGCATGTGCACCTCGTCGATGAAGAGCACGCCGGGCACAATCTCGGCCTTGCCTTCTTCCTTCCACTCGCCAACCTTGGTGTCGATCTGGTCGCGGATCTCGCTGCGGATCTCGCCCGTGTCGCCGCTGAACAGGGCTAGGAAGCCCTGGGTGCGCGAGTTGATTACGTCGATCTCGTGCAGGGTGACGGTGTGCACGACCTCCTTGCGCTTCTGCAGCTCGCCGTCCGGGCACTGCAGGAACTTCGTATCGGCGCCCATGGCGTCGTAATCACGGCTGCGGGCGTAGCTGCGGCCTAGCTTGGTTATCTTGCCGGAGCCCTTGTCGATGGAGATGATGTCGCCGGCCATGACGCGCTCCTTGGTCATGGCGTCGATCATCTTGGCGCCCATGTCGTAGACGGCTTCCATGTCGGTCGTCTTGATGGTGAGCTTGCCCTGCTTAGCACCGCCCGTCACGCTGCGGTCGATCTGGATCTCGACGACTTCGCCCTCCATGATTTCGGATTCTTCCTTGATGCGCACGCCGATCGACTTGCGGAAGGCTTGCGTTAGGGCTTCTGTCTTGGACATCTCGAGGGAGAAGATCTCGGACGAGGCTAGCGATGTGAAGGGTACGTCTGGGCCGAGCGATTGCGCCATGCCCATTGCGATGGCTGTCTTACCCGTGCTGTGTAGTGCCGTATGGTCAATGGCAGGTTCATCGAGTTGATAGATGTATGAATTATAGCATGGCTTACCTTGGAGGTCCGGCAATGAGAACCGCCCTTCCAGCAATCTTCCCTACCTTGATCATTTCTAATATAACGGCCGCCGCCTTTCGCGCCTTCTCCTGGCCGACGAGGCCTTGCGACGCCGAGCGAGGTTCTAACGTGTCGGGATCTACGCCTAGGCCTCTGATATGCGAATGCGCCGCGATGAGGTTCAAGCCTCGCAGCTCTTTGGTCTCGCCGACGGTCATGACGGGCTGTATGTTTCCACAATAATGATTAGCTTTCGGAGCTCCATTTTCTCGTTTATTATCGGTAACGATTTATTTATTTATTTATTTGTAAGGCGGTTACTTACAGCAGCCATTTTTGGAGAGAGCTCTGTTTCAATTCCTCGGGTTGAGTGGTTTGTAGCTCTAGAGTTTCCTGTTTTGGCGTTGTCTCTTTGCTGGCTGGCCTTGTTAGTTAAGTTAAATCTTTAAAGCTTCCCAGGAAGTCAAATCGCAGCTCTGGAAAATTGGACGCGTTACATGGGTACACGGCTTACCTATCGTACACTATCGGTATCTTATCAGCTCATCTTAGCAATCTTGTGGCGCATACCGTTAGCTGCAAGGGCGAGTGAATGTGGCGTTGTGGCTTCTATGGAAGCAATCAAGGTTCCGGTAGGACTTTTCCTGGTCCACTGTAACTTTGCAAGGCAACTTTAAAGGGGTACGCAGAGTTATAGATATATGATCCTTTTGATTGGTTTATATTAATTAATTCCTCATAATCGTAAATGCAGTGGACAGATGCCCTACCTACCCCACTCACTTATTTTAATCGTTGTGTTACCTGGCCACCACCGATATTTTGTTGAAATAAATCCAATATCTAAGGTATGATCAAGTACGATTCTTGGGTACCCTGGCATTAACTAAAACCTTATGGCCTTGAACCAACCGGTTGGAAAAAGCAATTAAATCGTGGACCGGGTTTAACTTCTGCTTGTTTCTTTGCCACTTTATTTCGGTTTGCATATCGCGTTTCATCGCGTCGATCTCGTTGTTGTAACATTAAGCAACTTTTATACATGAGAGCGAGTTGTTTCTATTTTTTTTTTCTGTTGGCAATAACAGTCAAGTCCACCCCGTATTTTATTATAAATTCATTAGGTCCCACCCCTCTCTCGTCTCTATGATGTGTACCTAGGTACAGGCAACTGCCGGTTGTATTGGTTGGTTTACATCTTTCGTGATCCATGCCTATAGAAGGTACCTTAGGTACCTACTCCAGATACTCCAGGTACTCTATTTACTTGGCTCCCGTTGTCTGTTAACTCAAGAACGGAACTTACAACGCATATACTTGTTGGCCCACCCATCGTCCTTTCCTTTTCTTATAAGGTATACTTGTCGAGCAGGTGTCCACAGAGCGAAGTCTATCGCTAATAACAGGCAGTTGAATTAGCTGTGTGCACCTACCAAGCGCTAACAGCGCTAAGGGTCTAAACTCTACCAGACTGCCAGATTGCAACTTCTACCGAAGCAATATATTTTGCGAGCACCACCCACCCGACTTATTCCTCAAGGTTCCAAGTCGTTCTCTTGCTTGCATCCTTACTTGATCCAACTCGATCCACGTCTTCAATCTGACAGCGGCGACTGTTATCCATTGGCGCAGGATTAAATACTTATTGAGACCGGATCTCAAGCAGATCTCAAAGTATTGTGATTGACTTGCGTTTGCCCAGTTACTCTCTTCTGAACAACCCTTTCTCGTACAGTACCTACCCACACGCCGCGACTCTTAAGTAATAAAAAAAGAAAACACCAGGTTAGAAGGCGTTATAGTATCTACTTAGGTAGGTGCCTATTGTGCCTCACCGAGGTTTTGACTGAGTTCAAGACTGCTTGTTCCTTCCTGTTGCACTTGGTTTATAGTTGCCTACTGTCTAAGTTCTTCAAAGACTTGGAAAGAGCCGACCAAACCTAAGTAGCCTGGAGCAGTGATCTTTCAAGGCAATGACAGCGTCGTACGTGATTGGGTTATCAGGAAGTCGCAGTGTAAATTTCAAGAATTGGGGAAGTCGTTGGCTGATTCTATTTCCCTGGTTAGCAAGATAACCTCGGATTCCCTCTGATAACCTCAAGCACAGTTATTATTTTTCTTACTTTACTATGTCATACCCCCGATCCAGAGTAAGTGGTTTTGAAGACGAGCGACGCCGTCCATACGGTATTGACTCGTACAAACCATCAGAGGATCGACACACTTCTAGTGAATATTCTCGTGATCGCGGCAGAGAGGTTGAGCGTGACCGAGACCGAAACATGGTTCTAGGTCGACGCGACTCCGGAGACGCGGAGGGTACAAGAAGTCCACACGGCCATGGAAGAGATATGGGTGGTTCAAAGGATATTCATCGACTTTCTATTGACACAATAATTCCTACCGGTCCTAGGCGGGTTGTGTCAGGTACCTATTCCCCCGCTAGTGCCACGAATAGCGTTCCAACGTCAAGAAGTACCCGCCCAACCCCGACTGACCCGGGTGAGTTTTAACTTCCCCAATAATCCGCTAAGCCACTAATTAGTCAATAGCCACCGATAGCATTTCAAAGGCAACTAGAATCTCTAGTCCAGGTCCTATAGCCCCACCAAGCATTCCGAAAGCCAAAGATCCTAGGTTACAAGAAGTTTTCGAAATTTTATATAAATGCAACGAGACTTCGCAAGAGCGCATGCTCTTGAAATTCCGGAAAAACAAACTTTCGCGCGAGGACCATCGACGTCAGTGTGAACTCGACAAAGTCGCCAGTAAAGTTAATGATTATGCTCCATACTCGGAATTCCAGCGACGATTTGACGAAAGTGGAAAGTTAGAGCGGGATGAGATCTCGAGAAGTCTCGCTAGACTCGATCAGCAATTCGCAGAAACCTTAGAAGAAGCTGTGTCTTCCGTAACATCTTCCAAATTGCAAGCAGCTGAGAACACCTCGCTACGAGCGCTAGAGGCCAAATTTGCCGAATTTCAGAAGCAAAGTTCTGAGCAGCAAAAACAAATATCTGATGCTCATAGCCAAATTCAAACACTACGTAATGAGCGAGAACAGTCAATCCAGGCTTTCAATAACCTAGATAAGGATTTTAAGGTGTTAAGATCCGATTATAATACTCTTCAATCCGAAAACTCGCAGCTCAAGACGCAAATTTCAGATCTTAATTTTCTTAAGAAAATTCAGGATGACTTAACCCGGTTGACTCAGGATCTCGGATCCTTTACCACCAGAGTGGATGACGTGGAAAAGAAGACGACTACGTTCATGGATAAGGTCAAAGAGCTTGACATGGAGACCTACAACGAAATTCTAGAGACCTGGATCGACCACGATTTTAAATCCAAGGTGTTTTCAAATGAAAAAACGATTGCGGCTCTACGTCAAGATTTTGATTCTTTACAAGAGTCAGCCACGTCTCATTTCGACAAGAATGGTTCTTTCATCCAAGAAACACGGAAGTTCATGGAGAATGTTGAAAGTTCCCGACCGGTTGTCTCACAACCAAGCAACGAGGCATCGGCACATCAGTTTGCACAAGAAGCTTGGGTTCAAGAACAGCTAGATGTGTTGCGGGAAGCTATGGAGAAGATAGTTGCCGAGTCTGGTAACAGTTGCGCCGACATGGTTGACGAATTAGGAGTTCGCGTTGACAAAATTACAGCAGACGTAAAAGCTCTTGAAAAGCTGTCTATGCAAATTAATATGCTAAAGCAGACCGGAGATGAACAACGCAATGCGCTGCAGCACCTGCAAGATTGTATGAAATCCTTGGAGGCTGAAGGAGTTGGTCCTAAGCTCGACAACGTCATAATTAAATTGGCGGATGTGGAGAGTAGAGTAACCAGTCTCCAGCAGAGTAATGTCACGGGAGGAACGGTCGGTCTAAACTCCATCGTGAGTGCCGTTAAGTCGGACGTGGAGGATGCTAAGAAGAGATTTGATTCTCTTGAGCTTGCTGTTAGGACATTGGACAGTCAATGGGCGAACTTGACGTCCAAGCAGATGGCCGTATATATCCTTCAGCACCTCGATCCGTATAGACACCAGACTGAGGGACGGATAACTGGCGTGGAGGCAGGGGTCGGCGAATTGAAAAGTAAAGTCGCACTTGTCGAGAATAATCTCGCTTTGCTGAGAGACCCGAAGTACCTGGCAACAATCATAAAAGCCTCTCCACCGTTAGGAAAACGGCCAGCCTCTCCTGGGTCGCCTGCTGAGGACCCGGTGAAAAAAAGAAAGCTGGACACAAAAACCCAGCAGAATACTACCCAGGCATAGTTGAAATACCCATAGCCCTTTGTATCAATGTTTCTAAGGCGAGGGCTTCGAAAAGAAAGTCGGCTAGAGGTTGGAAGTCAAATGAAGATGGAAGATCTGCAAAGGTCTGGCAATGCGGTGGTTCATGTGCGTATGTCTACGGTTTTAGAGCTTTCGCAGATTCGCGGAGTTTTGCAACTCCTAGGGGAAAGAATAAAACAGTGAATAGTCAAAAAATGACATTGGCTTTTTTTTTAAACGCCATAACTACCTGTATATGCACTTTTATAAGCAATCCATGGGTGTTTACCTGTGGATATATTTTGCGTCTCCCACTTGTCTACCGATGTATGCGTCCATTATATACCGACCATGTTCCTACCATGCCAGATTATGTAAGTCTATGTAGAAACTCTTTCATAATAGCTTGAGGCCACCAGTGACCTTGTCAACAAGACTCCTGGGAGCGGGCCCAACGCCTAGGACTGTTAGGCTGCCAGGGTCGATCTGGGTGCGGCCGGCGTCCTGGATGACTTCGGCTGTGATGCCTAGGCTGCGCGCCTTACCCATCAGATCCAGCAGCTCGGCCTCTGACTTCACCTGTACGGCGATCTTGGCTTGTCCCCGGCGTTCCCAGCGCTGTAGGAGTCGTGCTTCGGCTGATGACGGGTTTCGCTGGGCGGCGCGGGTGAGGGTCTTGTAGCATGCTAGGGTTGCGTGGGAGCATTGTGCAGCTATTTTGCCTGTGAGGTACGGATACACGTTAGTATTGAGTTTGTATTATGGCTGAAGGAATAATAGGAATAGAGACAACGAACCTTTCGTCATGCCTAAATCTGTCCGTACGACTAGGACTAGCTTGCACTCCTCATTTGCAGACCCTTCGGCTACTGTTTGTTGAGGCTGAGCACTGTCCGCCTTGCTCTCTGCCTTGTCCTTGGGAATATTCTTTGCCTTCTTCGGCTTAGAGGCCTTGAGCCCGTCTCTTCGATCGGCGTCCTCGCCGTTGGCCCAGTTAGGCGCATGGTCGAGTATTGTGTCGCCTTCGTCGATGTCGGACTCTTCGCTCTCGAGAGGGTCGTTAAGGTTGCTTTGGCGTTGGGAAGCTAGGGATGGAGAGATAAATAGGTACCCTCGCACCGAGTATATGCCTAGTAGGAAGCCGGATAGGAAGACCACGATACTCGTGGAGATGAGTATTGTGGTATTGGATTGGTCTGCCATCTTGGAGGATGAGCTGGGGGTAAATGTTCAAGTGTCGTTGCTGGGTATTTTCACAAGAGGAAAATAGGCAGATTAGAAGAATATATCTTATGTCGTTATTGTCGTCGATCCATAGGTAGAAACTATGCAGCCGTAGATTGACAAATTAGTTAAAAAGAAATGAGTGTAAGTTGAATTGCTAAAGTTGGTCAAAGTAAATACATAGGTAGATTTATAATATGAGGCGGACAAACTGCAAGGCCTGCAGAAGCTAAGATCCCGAACAAGAAACAAGAAAAAAAGGTTTGAGATCTTATTACATAGTACCAGGCAAGATGCAATATGAAGCAACCCCACATCAGCCTTGCGTTAAGGTCCCATGTACTACCTTCAATATGACCTAAGCTTGCCATTGACCTAATTCCTGCCTTACCTACTACGAATACGTACCTAATGTACAAGTTACCTACATGTGCAACCCATGTCGCCGCCCTGCTTGCCGGCGGCTCTGATTTGCTAAAACCACACCCTTTTACAATTTGTCTCGGGTTTATAGGTACAAAACAAAGAACATTTCGAAGTTGGAATCGTCAACACACGTGGAACTATCCGCAAAGTATAAATCGAAGCGACCCTACCATAATTTCGCACCCAGAAAAAATTGCACATTGTGGCGCCTATCAGAAGAGTTATACCTCTAGGTCGCTTACAAGAACTGTTTCGTGCATATCGGAGATGTAGTAGAGCCCGGCAGAAAGATAGAAGCGTCGGGCTTCTTTGATATTTGATTTTGATATTTGATATAGTCTCTCTGTTGTATAATCCGTAACCGCTTAGGTACACACGTAGATACATATGGCAGATAGGCAGATAGGGTAGTAGTCGGGTGCATGTGTGAATGATGCGATGCTAGTGGTAGGAATAGACTTATTCTGGTGCCCTATCAAATCATCCCGATGCATAGGTACATATGTACTGGTGGGGGTCCTCAACTGGTACCGAAGAAGGTAAGGGGGGTTCTATCTATGGCCGGTCAAGCCACACAAGCCACATGAAAGCCTACCTATGGGTCCACTACCTACCTATGTACTTCCCGTCTGAGGTAAGAGGGAGTGCTACATGTAGGTAGGGCAGGTAAGTACGCAAAAGAGGTAGGTACCTACGTAGGGTTAGTGGACTTTCCCCGACGCTGTGAATGTCAAGCAGGAAACGGGTAGCCGCAACACAACAAGGGAAACTTGGAGGATTAGATCAAACTGGGTTCCATCCTTGCCCGCGTCTCCTGCCCTGTTAGAGCCACCTCTACCACTATCCGGTCCTTCACCATCGCTGAAGGCGCGAGTGACCTAACTGACCTAACCAGCTAATACCTATTAACCCAAGCAACCCCGTCCTGGAAACATCCCTGCATTTTATTGTGTAGCGTACACTCCGTCCCTACCTACGACTGCTACCGCCTGCTACTACGACGGGTTCGGTGTTCACCCACTTCACCAACTTCTTCCCGCTGCCGATCATCACGCATCATCTGCAACAACAATACCTGGTCATCAGTACGCAGACTTTACTTTTGACTTCCCCGACACTCTTTGTTACCTTTCCTTTCTTTCACCCGACGAGCCTCATCACCAGCCCCTTTCCATATCATAATAACACTTATCTTCCGCTTACGTCCCTGGTATATTTTTTTTCTTCTTGTAGTCCTTCGCCGACGCGAACCACATTTTGACGAGCGATGCGCCGGGCCGAATGTCACGAGGATTTATTAGAGGCTGGATAAAACAGCAAATAATGTCTACGCGACAACAGTAACTTGTGTCTATCTACTGTGTATTGCATTGTACTTTACGGGCTTGAGGGTGTGCAAAAGGTGAAAAAAGGGTAGAGCGAGAGTCACCATCGCGCCCAACTTTGAGGTCAGTCAATAAAACTCCATTAGAAAAGTACTTTGGATGGTGCTTTTTTTATTGTACCCATCCCCATAATTTCCAATTCAGCCAATGCCTGTCGAATTGGCTTGTCGTCGCCATTGCTTCGAGGAATACACGTCAAATCATTGTCCGATCTCCGTATCATACGTCCTTTTATTCACCCATTTTACGAAGGCTAGCAATGACCGGAAATACTAAACTCTAACCTTACAGAAGAAATATCTCCGTCTTATCGCATCGCCCTAGAAACCTGATGATACCTTCAACATCATACCGACTCATACCGACCCTACGTAATTCTCATCTGTCACCGCAACCGCGCCTTCTTTCATGATTCCTAGCACCAGGTTCGCGTGCAACATTTCGAAGTTGCATGAACAAAGAAAACCATGGAGGAAGTAACCAAACATATTGAAACACTAGTTAAAGACGTCCTCCCTTTTAAAGCACACTACTTGTCACTAGACACGACGCGCCGGTACCGACCACACGCGGATGACAAGAGATTAGAAGAGCAGGATATCAGACCCCTTCAATACACAACTTTTGTTAGTGACGCAGAGCGTGGTGTTCTTCTGACTAGGGCCTACTTTGACGTGCGGGAAGAACCTTTAAATCCAGTCAGCGCCGCCGATACCCCAACACCTCGAAGAGCTGATCCGAGTAAACCAAAAACGAAACTCTCCCTAAAAGACTACAAGAATAGAAAAAAGTCACCCGACGGCGAAGAAACGCCCAAACCAGTAGCGCAACCCTCCAAGACGAATGCGCCTCCAAATAAAAAACTCGATTCGACTACGAAAGAGACGGAGGACCACCGTGTTATTAAGAAAGAAATTCCCGACGCAAAACTTAGCATGAGGCCTGAGGCGCGTCGCCCTCGCAGTCCCTCGACGGATAAGAAAAGACGGGTCATAGAGGCTGAGCAGGAGCCCAAGTCAGCTAAGCGGAGCAAGATTGAGAGCTCCACGCCCAACTCTATAAGTTCACGTTCCCTTAAGGATAGCGCTGCTCAGAAACCCGAGCGGCAGGTAGCCTCTGAGAGGAAGCTTCTTAGAGATTTGAAAGGCACACCGACCACCAACGGAAAACCCTCACTCAACAGCACGGGGAATAAAGGTGTATCTCCCAGGCCTCCCGGCCAAGTGAATGGTACTCAAAAACTTATTAAGAACAAAGACGGACCAGATAAGAAAGTAGAAAACAACCCGACCTCTAAGGTGCCTTACGTACCCCCCTTATTATCTCCGATTGATATATTAGACTACATGGACGATTCCAAGCCATCGCGGCCTAGCCCTAAGAAGAAGCCGGCGGACTTGAATAGTCTAAAACCGCCGTCGAAGAAAAGCCGAGAAGATCGCGAGCCGTCTCCTAGCCCCAAGAAGCGAAAGGTCCCGCCCCTTCTTTCTCCGACGCTCCCGCCCATTGTGCTCGAGGAATTAGCGAGGACAAAGTCAGCTTCAAAGGACTCGAGTCAAAGAAGTAGCCAGATAGCCTCCGACTCTCCTAACGGTCAGAAAAAGGCGGCGAAACCTTCGAGGCGCGAAGATACCATACATGTGGAAAGCGGCAAAGGGCAACGGGAGTCGCTCATAGTCACATTGAAGTATAAGAAGCGAAATGCAAAGACGATAGAACGGCTCTTAATCTTACCTCCCGGCGGCAGGAAGAAGAGCAATTTATTAGGGGAGGCTAGCCGCGTCGCTCGCGATCGTTCCGATAGCTTGGAACCCGGGACAGCACGTAAGCGACCCGTGGCGGACCCCCCTAGCGAAGCGATCAAACGGCCAAAACCTCTAGAGAACCCACGACCTTCTACACCACCTGGACCGCCATCGCGAATGACGCGAGGCGCATCCAATAGCTCCCAAGTTGGTACCCCAGGGGTTACAAACGGCCTCACGCCAGCCGCGCAGCCACCCGATCGACGCCGTCCACCAGTTGACCCAGAGAAGCTGCAGAGGCTGCAGTCGAGAGCCTTGAATTTCATCAAGCTTGGCACCCAGCTGAAGCACGAACGAGATGCGGTCTTGAAGAACCCAGCGGATGGAGTTTCGGAACGCGAGCGTCAAGTTGCTGTCGCCGCTGGCATTCAGTGTGTAGTGTCGTTTCTCCTTGGTTTCAAACTTCAAAGTGATGCTTCCGATCTCGAGCGCAAACGAGCTTCAACCCGGTCAATGCGAGAATTGTTGTTGTTATTCCGAGTAGCCAGAACCGACTGCGCAAGACACAATGCATTAACCGCGTTAATACTGCGGCTCCAAGGCATCTGTCTCGTGTACATCGGTCGCATAATGTGGTCGTACCCTAATGATTCCGAGCTCGCAAGCCAGATCGTCGCGAACTGCAAGGAGCAGCAAGATATCTGGCACCAGGCTGACGGCGCACGCAGAAATATGGGGGTATACGATGGAAGTTCCAAGTCGGACGACGGGGGTTCGATAGGCAAGCTCATAGACCGACTTGGACCATGGACGATACCCGAGGAAGCTATACCGATCACTCTCGAGGTCTTGCGCAAAGTCATGCAGGCTAACGGCCCATGGAAGCCAGCCGAGTCCCTAACCAAATTGGGACATTCCACATTAAACGGGATTTCCACCTAAAACTAGAACAAATATTGAGGTTACCAAAGAGATACACAGTTCTTACGGCTCCAATTTTCATCCTAATGTATATTACGAACAATGATTTCTACGACATGATACCGAAACTCTTGTCTTCCTCCCACCCCTGCAGCAGCAATCGTTCCAAAGTTTGGGTAATCAGGTTGTGAGGGTATTGGTCGAGGGCGACCCGGAGTATCATGCGGCGTCTCGCAGGAACGAACGGAATAAGGGGTTGGTTTTGTGAACATCGTATACAGGTACCGCGACTAAGGGAACATAACCTGGTTTGATTTTACGCGCGTAATTCTATGTATCTGTCTGTCTGACCCGTCAGACGAGGGGAGTTGAGAAGAGGAAAAAACAAAAGCTAGAACAACTGGCGTTCCATAGGAGAAAGCAAACGGAGGGAACAAGATGGATTGCTTGGACCCTCCCCTAGTTTTGAGCGTCGGCCGTTTGTGTATTCTTTTTTTATCCCGCAGTCGTACTTACTTCGATGATATCCCGCCGGCACGGCCGAGCAAAATGGTATTTTAAATGACTAACTACTTAATTCATTTGGCTATGCTCTTGATGTATGCTATGCTGTGAGTTGTGCTCATGTGCTTTGATATTGGCTCCCTTAATAATGTAATATAACTCGTGCCATGCTTACGGTTTTGCGTAGCCCAGTCGGGGGAATAGGGGTTTCACAAAAAGGAAGGGGGAAAATGTCCTTTATGGTCAGAAATTTCACTAGTGTAGGTACCTATATAGTCAAAGTGACATGAAGACATTTGCGCAGGTTTAACGTATTAGACGAAGGTTTATAATGTCTTGGTTGCCGAAGTATACCTACCTGTTACGCGAGATACAATATCCAGTATCAGAGCAAGGGTTACATTGCAATCCATACTCGGGTCCCAGAAAGAAGAAGCTTTGATATTTAATATTTCATTACGATGGCTCTGTGATGATGATCTAAATTTGAAGAGAAATGTAATGTACCTAGGTGGTAGCCTCGCGATGAACTTCGCTCACTTGGATGGTGCAGTATTATCAGTTCTTGGCTTAGATTAGCATCGTATCCTTATCCGACACTGTGAAATATAGTAGTAGTATCCGATTCAAAGAGGTAATAATAAATTATTACTTCGAGGGAAGTTCGTTTGCTTTTCCAAATAGCTAATCATACATCGTGCTGAAATCGTTACTAAGAACGCCGTGGTATCATTCCCTTCGTTTTGCGGTCTACACGACCTCATAATCATGCAAAGTCAGCCAGGCGAGTCCAGCCCTCCTCGCCGGCCTCCCTGAACTCAACGCCTTCTCCGAAGTAACCCGCGTCCTGCCAGGCTTTCATCGTGGGCCCGTCGAAGGGGCCCTGTTTATCGGCGTCGTCTCTGCCGTCGATCCAGCGGAACTCCCACATCCTGGTTATGGGCGCTGCTTTCGACTCCTTTTGCGGCTCTACCCAGGGCTCGTCTGCTTCGCGCGTGTATTCGCGGATAAGGCGTTCTCGCTCCCGGTCGTAGATGTCCGGCCGGTCTCTCCCGAGCAACCTGTCTGACGCTTCGGTGATCGTGTTGATAGCGTCCTTGATGCGGGTCTGCTCGGGGTCTTCCGGCGCCTTCTTGGCGTCCATCTCCATGGCGTCCGGCTTCTGTTTCTTCTGCTTCCACTTGGGGACTTTTTTGGTTTTTGTTTGGCCCCGGCCTAACCTGGCGAGTGCTTCTATTGGGGTCTCTCCGCGCTCTAGATGTAGGATTAGGGACTTGAGAAGATCTGACGTCAATGCGCTGTCCTCTTCCTTGCGCTTTTGTCGCTGCTCGGCTTCGCGCTTTTCGTGGGCTTCGGCGGCTTTTTTCATGTCCTTCTTGCTGACGCCTTCGAGCCATCGGTCGTGCACGGCATCGGGGTCCACAGCCTTGCGCACGAAGTTCCCAGCCTCGTCGAAGCGCCCTTCTTCATTTTCGGCTTTTAGGTTGAAAGCCTCGACTTTGGGAGCGTGTTTCTTGAGCCCGCCGGCACCGATTTCCTCGTCGAGACCTTCTTCTTGTATCGCGAGCTCTATTACCTCTTCGTCGTCATCGTCGGATGATTCCCCGTCTAGGCGCACGTGTCCACCAGATTTCGATTCTGCTTCCTGGCCTTCGATCTTCTCGGTGTCTATAAAATTGACTTCCTTGCTCTTCTTTCCCGTCGAGTTGTCCACAGTATCGTCTTTGTCGTCGCCATCCTCTTCGGCTGCGAACATGTCATCCATATCCTCGTCATCTTTCTTCGGCTTGGATTTCGACGCGTGTAAAGTGCCAAGCTCTTCCTGGTCAGAATCCGAGTCATACCCATCGATGTTGACAGCTCCGCGCTTAGTCGCAGCGCTCCCGCGAATGATTTCTGCGTCGACTTCCAGGTAATTGTCTGCCTCATCGTCTTCGTCTTCTACGTCGGGGGCGAGCGCGGACGGGTTCCGCATGTCGAACTTGACTTTCTTCGAGTTGGGCTCGGCATGATGCATTCGCGCGTAATTCTCGCCGGCGCGCTTTGGGCGTGCGGCACTGAATCTTGAGGACATGATGATTGTGATGATGATGAGGCTATGGTGGATTGTGTATAAGTACAAGTATGAATTGAGGCAGAGCCTCCAATAGCAGTCGAGTCCAATATGACGTTGAAATTTGAAAATTGCCCCTGTCTGGTAGCTGCAGCTCATCAGTGGGGAGGGAACATTAAGCTACCTACTGTGTACCGAGCTAGGTACCGAGCTAGGTACATACCAAGCTACTAAGCTGCCAAGATTATGTACTACATAACTATGGGGCCGTGCTTAGTGGCTTGTCTCTCTAATTCTTAGCAGTAATCACGGTTACCTAAGACGCAATGTACCCCTGACGGATTAATACGCACGCCGAAGTTTCGTCATAAGCAGTTGCCTTCGGATACATGACCTAGAGCTCTGAGGAAGGTCCAGTAGCTTCCGGTTTCCAGTTTCCAGTTTCCAGTTTCCAGCTTCCAGCTTCCGTGAAGTTGTTCAGGAAACTTACAACAAAAAAGTCCACTTCATATTCTTTTTTACATCATTCGCCTTCTCTAATTTTTATCCTCTTAAATATCTCTAGTTACCCATCTTCAGTCCCCCATCTTTCTTATCTTTCAGAGAGGTAGACTAAGTTTCCTAAAATAACCCCACCTCGTTATGGTTAGTTACACACCCGACCCTTTGTTCCGATTTCTGGATCTCTGCTGACCACAACTATTTTCGTAGTACCGTGGATTCAACTCTTTTGACGTCGACGATCCGGCCGCCATGTCGTACATGGCCCGATCCGGAATGATGCGCGGCCCGGCCATGCGCCGTTTCGACGAGTACTTCCGATGTTACCCGATTATCATGGCCCCCGGATCCGAGAGACCGGAACTCAACTACGGCTCCAAGATCTTCCTACCGCCATCCGCCCTCCAGAAGATCTCCCAGTTACACGTTCAGTGGCCCTTGATGATGGAGCTGGTGAATGGCGAGAGAGAGCGCCAGACGCACGCGGGTGTTCTAGAGTTCGTGGCGGAGGAAGGCAGAGCGTACATACCGCAATGGGTTGGTTTTGGTGCTGGCGTCATAGAGGAGTAACCATAACTGACGGGTTTAGATGATGCAAACGCTACAACTGGACGTCGGCGACATGATCCAGATAAAATCGACATCGCTGGAGCTGGCTAAGATGGTTAAGCTTCAACCCCAGTCGACCAACTTCCTTGAAATTAGTGACCCCAAGGCGGTTTTAGAGAAGGCATTCCGAAACTTCGCTACATTAACCAAGGGCGACGTGTTCAACTTCGAGTATAACGACGAGGTTTACGATGTAGCAGTCTTGGAGGTGAAGCCGGAGACGGAGAAGATGGGTGTTTGCATGATAGAGACAGATGTTTCGGTCGAGTTCGCACCACCAGTAGGATATGTTGAGCCGCAGAAGGGTAGCGGTACTAGTACGCCGAGAAGTACGAGGGGTGGTTTACCCGCTGGCGGGCTCATGCATCCCCAAGGCACGATGGCACAGTCTATCAACTACGACGCGATCGCCCCTAATGCCACAACAGCTGCGACCGGAGCCCGAGCAGTTTCGTCTCATTTCCTAAACGAGGGCCACAAACTAAGCGCCAAGAAAGGCTCCAAAGCCCCAACGCCGAAACCCTCAACCCCCGTCGCTGGTACTTCTACAAATGTTATACCCGTCCCGCGAAGACGAACGAATGGACCCATGCCTCTTCGCTTACCACCCAACAAGCTCTTCTTTGGTTACGAGGTTACACCGGTTAAGACAGACGCAGACAAGGAGGCAGAGAAAGAGAATGCGAGCAGACCATACTTCGCGGGACAGGGCCAGACCCTTAGAGGGGCAGTCAAGCGGAAGGGCGAGGGAGAAGATAAAGGAAAGGCGCCCGAGAAGAAGTCCGACGAAGGACGCCGGCTCGATGGACGAAAGGCATGATGATATCGTACTAGGGGTGTACCAGGCGTTTATGGAGTTTCTAGATAATGCTATGGGCCTGGTAGATTAATGCGATGACTACGATATTCCCATGCATCATTAACATTATCGGGTTGTATCCCTTGATGGGATTGTGGGCTGGAATTTGTCGTAGGCATTATCGTCTTGCGTAACGGAAAGAATGTGTTCGCTCAGACTCGCTACGAGGGTAGATCTTGGCCTAAATAATAAAAGATAATCTCAAAAACTACACCGATGTATGTATTGGTCTTGAAGGGCATTGTTCTTGATTCCCTGATATGGCCTAAGGACGTATTAACTAGAATTCGAAGATTGATATTCCCAAGTATTTATGGCTCATTTCTCATGTCCTTGTAATATCTCATTCATGTTCATATTTTCGAACCTTTCTCTACTTGCCTATCCAGACTAGATTATAACAATGCTCTTCAAACTGCTCGGATTAACTGGCCAAGCTTCACCTTGCATAATACCGCAAATGTAGACTGGAGATATAATCCGGTACTGATCTCCGTGTACGTGTCTGATTACCATGGGAACACACCCACCAGCCATAATAGCAACCTTATCTCCGGCTGCGATGGCATAAGCACCAGTTCCAAATGCCCCTGGGCCCATCTTGAAGAATGTCCAGTAATATGATGATGCAGTGAATAGCTCGTGTAGCTCGGAGACGTTGTCGTTTGCCGATATTCGATTGTATACTTCCATCTCGGGGGCTTCGTCGATGCTTGATAGCTCATAGGCTGGTAGGGGCTTGGCCGGTAGGACGCTGAGTAAATCAAGCCATTGACGGAAGGACTCCTTCAGGTCTAATTTTGCGTCTACTGATGCCTGGTTGGAGACTATCTCGTAGAGGTCATTCTTCCACTTGTCTAGGCTGTTAGATGCTTTCCTCATGTACTCGAGAGCTTGCCGTAAGACGCGGATATTATAGACTGCGAGGAATTCCTCGATACCGTCGCCTTTTTGCAGTCGTTTGTATTTCCAGTCCGGGGCTATTTCTTCTTCGATCTGTGTTAAGATATCGTCGTTTTTCAGGGCCTCCGCGGTGCGATAGCGTCCTAGTAGACATGTCCTGAGGGAGGAACAGACGTCTCCGATGATTACGGCAGAGACTCGGAGTGCTCGGGAGCCACGGGGCAGATGGACAAAGCTGAAGCTGGCGGTTGAATGTCCAGCGGCGTGATAATCTCCCTTCGGTACCGAACACGGCACCGAAGTTGCCCAGTTTGGGACCCAGGATGGCCAGCTGTCCGATACATAGTAGCAACTTTCTAGATTTAAAGAGCCAGTAAAATCCATCAACGCTTTAACGGTCTCCATGTATATAGTTTCCAGAGGCTTTTGATAATTAGCTGCTGGGAGCGATACTCCGTAGCTAACTAACAACCCGCGAAGCCCGTATACCTTGTCTCGAGGCTCGGTTGCCAAGAGTCTGCTTGCTTGGCGGAAGAGTTCTTCAATGCTGTCGTATTCTTCAGTGATGGCGACTGCTCGTCTCGGTCCCTGTAAGGAGACGATGTGCGTGCCGAAGCCATTATAAAGGGTCTGGTTTAGATTCTGTACAAGACCGACGTTTTTGTGTGTACTGTATAAGTCCGACCAAGACTTGATGAGGTTGAAGTAAACGAGCAAAGCCTGGCCGTATATGAAGGTTGCTTTCCGGCTCAGCGCAACCTCTTGGACTACCCAGACACGGCTAAACCACGTTACTCCCCAGAACATATCGTTGAGGGCTGGTTGTATTTTTAGCACATATGATTTGGCCACCTTATTATAAAAGAGCATTGTGAGTGGGCTTACTCTTGGTATCTATCCTGCTAGCTAATAAAAGGAGTCTATCCGAGTATTTTTCGCTCTTGGAAGCAAGACATGCATCGGCGAACTTAGAAAGGTTCTGAAAAGTCGACTCCCAGGACGGCTTTATCGTAGAACCAAGCCACACGACGACTTCATCAGCAGCGGTGTAGATGTCTCCCATTATGCTCACTTGCTGATTACGTTCTATCACCGCCGCTGGAGACTGGTTGATACAGATGGCATCGATCCATACTAACGAAGGCTTGCTATTAGTTGTAGCTAGGTGTCGAAGTATGTTATTGCAATTTAGCGTAACGAGGATGGACTGTCCCAGACAAAAAGCTTTTTCTGTAGGTCGTTGCCCGTCCCAAGAATACGAAATAGCTTTGAAAGAGGGACATTGGTCTAGTGTGGCTTCGAGCAACTCAAAATTCACAGGTGCCTTGATCGAAGACGCGGGAAAGAGTTTCAGGAGCCTGATGCTATTAGGAGAACTAAGCGGAACTTGACCATAAATGCTCGCCATAGTCATAAGAAAAATGAAGAGGAAAAAAGGAGTTAACTAGGTAGTCTAGATATTTCAACTACTCTGCCCATTTCGTAGGAACCAGCCGCTTAATGAGCGATTTCAACCCGATCCAAACCCTGATTTCGGTATAACTAGCTGGACGCGTAGTTCGGCAAGGATCGCCATCACATGGCGACTTATTTTTGGTCCCCTTTCCTATTTAGTGCTTAACAATAGGAGTATAATGGTCTGGTTGGAATCCTTCAACCACGCCCCCGAAAGCCGTTGGGGGCCACGACAGACTAATCTGGACAGCTGAATTGGATATTATTCGCCCAATCCCACAACCGAACGGTTCTGGGATCGAATCGCTGCCTTAACGGAATATGTGGACATGGAGAACATACGTCATGTCTATAATAACGCACGGGTGTTAATATGATATGGCAGCGGGTAATTGTATGTGAATGTGTCTTAAGATTTGCTATATTTTTTATTTATATATCACGGCTACGTAGACACAATAGTCGACTCAACTCGGCTTGACTCGACAAAATACCTAGCAAGCAGCTCCCGACGGAATGTTCGCGCACTTAGAGCTCTTCTTGCCGCCCGAAACGCTGACACCGGTCCACTTCCAATTGCTGCAAGACCCCTTGCCGCACAGGATGTACACATTGGTAGCATCGCTCGCAACGGTGCCCGTGACCTTGTTGATGGTAAGGTCGGTGATCGGGACGCCGGTCGTCGGCGTGCCGGTCGGGCTGCCGTTCTCGTAGTCCTGCTCGATGACGATGCCGTACTTGGAAATGTTGCTGAGCTTGATGTCCGAGTACGTGATGTTGCTGACGGCGCCCGACGCGTCGTACACCGTCTTGATGCGCACGCCGTTCTGCGAGTTGCTGATGGTCGACCCCGAGATGACGACGTTGCGCACTTCGTTGTTGCTGCGGCCGCCGACCGACCCGATGCTCAGGCCGTGGCCGCCCGAGCACGTGCCCCCCGTGAACTCGATGTTGGTGCCGGAGTTGATGGCTAGGCAGTCGTCTTGGTTCTTGACGTTGGCGCCGATGATTTTTACATTATCGGATGAGCCGACGTCGAAGGCGTCGGTGTTGTGGCCGCCGCCGGAGTCACCGGCGGAGTTATCGATGGTGATGTGGTCTAGCGTTAGGCCCTTGGCACCGTTGATAGAAAAGGTGTGGACTGGGGTGTTCTTGATGTTGAGTCCGGTGATCGTCGAAGACGTCAGGCTGTGGGCGTAGAAGAACTTGGGCTTCGTCTTGCCTCCGTTGCTGCCCTTTCCGTCCCACCACTTTGCGCCCTGGCCGTCGATGACATGGCCGCTGGCGCCCTGAACGGTGATCTTGGTTCCCGAGACACTGATTAGGGGGCCCTCCCACTCCTTGTACGCGAATGTCGTCGTGCCTTGGAAAGTGACGGTTGTGCCGGTAGTAAGGCCGGTCAAGTCAAGTGTCTGCCCAGCTGGAACAGTGACCCCCTTGATCACGATGTCGGTACAAGACTTCTTCTTCGATGCCAAAGTGTCTACCGAAGTGAAGGTACAAGTAGTAGCTCTCTCGTTGAGAGTGCTCGGGGCTGCGAGGGCCAGAGTGGCAAGACCGAGAACCGCAAGGTTATGCATTATGCTGGACTGAGCTGTAAAGAACGAGATGTCGACTAGGCGAAAAGAACGAATATAGTCTCGGCTTATAAGTAGAAACGAGGGACTAGCCTTGAGAAAGAAACAAAGGACGGCTCGAGTCGCTATACCCCCTAACATAATGCCATTGGTGGGAAAAGCTGAAAAGCATCAACTTTTTATACTTGCCCCCTTTTGCCAGGTGGTATGGCGATCTACGACTTGCATGTGAGGCATGTTTCGTGATTCGCGCGGGAAACTAGTGAGACACGAGGCGTGCAAGGAACAAGTTAGTTACCCCATTCGTGGATCTCCGCTTGGATCCATGTGTCCGCCGGGGACGCCTTAGTTACCTATTGTGAATAAGATGCTGACCTAGAACGCAGCTAGAGTTTTGGAAGAGATAAGATGTGTACCTACTGTCAACATTAAGTTCTTATGAGAGATTCATGCAATATGACGCCTTGTGGAGGATAGTATAATTTCAGGGATCATAGAGGGGCCTCGCTGATCCGGTGGACACGGGGGACTAACCGTTCGATCCCACGATTGAACGGGCCCTAGCCGTATTGCGGTAAGATACCGAAGGTCCGGAAACGCTAAGCTAGGGATCTGAGTTGAGTCCCCACATCGTGAGACGAGAAAGCTTGGCTTTGGCTACCTGAAAGACGATTAGGGCCACTTGCAGCGGAGTTTCAGATTTAAACATCAGACGAGATGAAGTGCTAACTGATAAAGCCACCGATGTACCAAATAGACGTTGTGGGGTTTCGTTAAATTAAAGTGTAGGTACATAGCACGGATCATTCTGAACTTTTTGAGGATAGTTATTATCTGTTGCCTCGGTTAGATCACATGTTGATTCTATTGGTTAGAAGACCTATAACGAAGAGTATTGGAGGAATTTTATTGATATTCCCGTAAAGGAGAAGTCACATCGCAAAGTCAAACTAGGCAACTAGTATATCTGAGTATCAATCGAGACCATAATCACTAAATTCTTCTTCCGAGCAGCATGAGGGGAAATCACCGATTCGCAACGCCCCGGTGGGCTCAAGTTAACCCCTATGAACGCAAGGCCTAAGCTAACTCGAAGTAGATGGCGACATGAATACAACGCGAAGACTAGATAACATAAATCTCTTGCTCATCAGAGAACTAGTGTCCCTGGCATCCTCTTAGAAAGTGAGGGGTATGTTGCGAGGTATCGTAAACAGAGGTAATTCCTCTGCTCCTGGTTGGCTGGGAAATACTTAAATATCGCCACTTTCATCCTCACCGTCTAGACGAGACAGTTGTTCAGCTTCGTTGTCTCCATGAGCAGGGGGGGCCGAAGAGGGGTCAAGGAGAGTCACGGGCTGGTGTTGCTCAAGCTGAGCTGCAGACTCACCCCAGTCCTTGTCATCCTGAGAAGGCACGGGCTCATCATCCTCCAACTTCATAGAAGTTTTTCTAAAGTGATATATTAGCCTCATATTCTACCACATAATCAAACTCCTAAGACTGATCAGTAGTGTAAACTTACCCGTTCCTGGTACGCTTCTTGACAGGTGTCTTCTTCTCCTCGTCGTCATCGTCGGAGACTGGTGCCTTAGCCTTGCGTTTGGCGCTAGCGCGGGAGCCGCGGGCGGGGCGGGGGCGGGCTGCTGCCTTGTCCTTGATAGCAGGTTGACTGTTGTCGGGAGAGGAGCCGGAAGCAGCATTCTGCTGAGATTCCGACTTCTCGTCTCGGATCATCTTTTGGAAGTGCTGTCTATGAATATAAGTTAGCTTGATGCATGGAAAGCTGAGAGTCAAAGATAAGCCTAGCTAGGAACAAGCTAGCAAAAGACATAAGCAGTCAGTGAAGCTGCGGCGTAGTTGCTCTGGGGATAGTTCGTGTAAGGTAGCCTCTAGTGAACCTAGTGAAACCGAGAGAAAATATCATAGTACAACTCGCCAAATGGCCTAGGTAGAACGTGAATTTCGATGGTAGATTGTTGAAAATGACCGCACGGTATAGTTCCGCGGTGCTGTGGTTCTGGGAAAAGAGCCCAACTCAAATCATGATATAGCAGATATTTTCGGGCCAACCCATGAGTTTTATACTCTGATAGTGGGATATAGGAAAAGTTGCTGATATGATGGCACTCTTGATCGACGAGGGCAAAGGGAGTCATGGAAATAGTATGCTTTAGGTATGTTGGGGGATGTCGTAACTAGGAATACACTTCTAACATGGAAAGCACGATGATCAAATAGCGATAGATGATGTTCACTGTGTGATCTCAAGAGGGTGGAAAGTAATGAAAAATGTATATCATACCTCATAGCATTTCCAGTGAATTCGTAACCCAGGTCATGTAGCTTGCGTAGGATCTGCTCCTTCTGCTCCGCCGTCAACTTGGCGACGTCCCAGACGGCTCTGGAGAAGTCGCGATAGGCTTCGAGAGTCCAGGTTGAGCCCTTCGGCATGGTGGCGATGTGTGTTGAGGTCAGGTTTGAACCAACCGAGATCAAGATAGAGAGGTTAGTGAAAGAGATGTTGTGGTTGATGTCCTGGAGGGTAGTAAAGGAAGGCGAAGAGTTTGGGTTGTTCAGTAGTAAACAAGGTAGGTAGGTAGGTAGGTAGGTATAGATGTTTAGAACCAAGTAGACGTTGACGGTAGAAGAGATGTGTTGTTCAGTTGGGTTGGGAAGTTACAAAATAGAAACTACGAGACTAGGTGCATGCCAAGTGACGAAGTAATATAGGCTTACGTAGGATGAATCTAACGGAACTTTGGGAAGGTAGGGGAGTATATATGGGATAGTGATTGCTTCTTGTGGCGTATGATGTGAACAAACTTGAGAATCCTAAATAGTTTGGAGGCATCCATGTGATAAGGTCCTTCTACCAATACATGTTGCCTATAAATAACGAGCTGCATAAAACGTAAATGCACCTAGGTACCCTTCTGGACATCTACATTCTTGTCTTTCTCAAATCTAAAAACCAGAGGTCCCAGGAGACCTTCGTGTAAGATAGCTGGAATTATTGGCTATCAAAAAATTTATCCCGATCATAAATAGCCCGCTTATAACTCCAAACTACCGATCAACGCGATGCTGCAGTGTTGTACATAAGTTGCCCGGAGATATTCCTCTGATTCCCCCATTCCCAAGAGAAGCAAACGCGAGTCTTTGTGATCTATTGACTTCGTATTAAAAACAACGTAGCTTGAATGAACATCCATATAATGTAGACTGATGACTACTGAACTGTTGTTGGCCGGCCATGGTCTAACAACTACGCCTTGCAATAGGAGCCTTGGCCAGCTGTATTATAGTAGCTTATGTTAAAACGTTCCCTTAGAGGCGGAGATGACTGCTGGGCGAAAAGGGTTACAACCACTATGCTTCCCCATAAAATCTGCCGATTCGTTAGTACCTTCATGTGAGGATAATAGATAGACCCGGGGCTTACTCAGGTGGACCATAATGATCTTCGTGCCCAGGTAGCCCATCTGCTGCTAACGACAAGACGGCTGCATCATCAGTCTGTTGCTGATCATCCTCATCGAGGCGCTGACGTTTCGGTGGTTGTTCATCAAGGCCCGAGTCGTCCTGCACTAGGCCTAAAGAGTCGGCCTCCTCGCTAGGGATTTGAACGGACATGCCATCATGTGGAGCTGTAGCATCTTCCTCGTCGTCGTGAACTTGGCCTGGTACTCCAGGAGAAGATATATGGTCAAGACCAGCAATGGGTGCCGGAGGTTGTTTCCTAGGCCGCCCACGACCTGGACCGGGGCGCCGTGTGATGGGGTTTTGAGTAGGGTCAGATCTGCGCTGGGCATCTATACCACCGGATTCAACCTTATGCTGGGCTCTGCGGAGGCCTTGGAAGTGTTGACTAGTACCAGTTGATTAGTCCCCATGTGCTGTATCATACGTTGTATATCCTCTTGTGTGTATGTCGCGAAGTAAATCCGGTGTGCTAGGTCATCTCGACTTCTGTCTTGGGTTGCGACAACCTCAAGTACCCCGGTTGTACAGTTACCAAGTAACTTGACAGTTAAGTTAAGCAGAACCCTGTAGTTAATTGTGCGACTTGACATATCCTTTGATAACTGATGTATCTCTATCATATTGGAGCAATAGGTAGACTGCATGCGCTACTTGGTACATTACCAGATACACACACACACACATACACACACACTAGAGGAAGGGGACAAGGACGAGAAGGCTACGTAGATTTGAACCGGGTACGTGGGAACCAGGTTGCAGAAAGAAGAAATGGACTTTGCTTACCGGCATCCCTCATTTGTGAAGCCATATCCTAGGGATCGCATATGATTACCAATGGTAGTCCATTCCCCGCCGCTTATTACACCGATGTTCTTGACAGAGAGGATGGTGAAAAAGAGGTCTTTGTCAGCTCTGTCATTCCAATTTTTGTTCATTTTGGCTCTTTGGTAGCTCCGAGCCTTCGAGGCTAGAGCTTGAAGAGACTGGTACTAAGATAGCGATGTGGGAACTGCTATAGCAATAAGCTACTCTTCACGTGCGAATTAAGAAAATTGATAGAGATGAGAGCTTTTAAGAGGTTGAGAAGAATGGGTAAGGAGCTTTGAATTGGAGCTACCTGAATTACGCGGTCCGGAGCGGTAGTGACAAGGGTGGGTCGAGTCCCTTGGCGGTATTTCCACTAAGAACGAATTAGGATAGCGTGCTGTTGTTTTTTTGTTCGCGCACGGCCTATGTAATGATCCGAGACCTTGATGCGTTGCAGTTGCCAAGTTGGGGTGTGGGTGGTAGTAGAGAGATCACGTGAGTTCGCAATTCGATATACCTACATGTACCTAGGTCCTAGGTACCTACCTAGGTAACCTGTGTTTTCACGGTTGGTGTGTACCAGTTTGACTTTAAGTACATCTAACCTCGAGTGTGTGTATAATAATGTTGTTATAATAGGGGTGTCCGGGCAGCTAAGCACTTACCCATTCTTAGAATAGAACTCGACAGCTTGACCGGAATACTTCGGATAGCCGGGAATTTGCCGTTCCTCTTGGGGTAGCATGCTGCATCACAACTATCGAATTTACTTTTCCATTGCGCCTTCTTTTCCTTTCCGCGCTTCTTTCTAAAAGACGCTATGTACATGCATGCACTTAAATCTTAAAATGGAAAGGTGTATGGATTATGAAACATCACGTGAAAAGGCGACTAAAACGTGAGCAGACCATGCACACAGTGCTATAAACTCCAACTCCAACGCGTCCTAATCCTGGTTTTTCCCCTTTTACTTTTTACATATGTACTTCCCATTTATTTATTCTTCAACATTCTAGTGTTACACATTAGTAGACTCGGCACTATAACATTGTTCGGTAACAGGAATAAGACAAACATACCTATGTAAGAAGTAGTTCCAAAAAAAAAAAAAAAAAAAAAAAACCCTTTGTCGCTCGCAACCAATTTCTCCGAGAATTAGAAGCAAACACCAACAGCCTTAGTGCCCGACGTATTAAACAAGTTCCTTGGTTCCGAGAGAAAAACGCGGTGGCCCTCTCATCTAACTACATTCTACATATTAAAACTTGTCGAATTAACAAATAATTGGCTGCGAGGCTAGTTACATATATATTCGGAATTGAACAGGCCGTTCCTGGATGTTCCTGGATCGAGGATGCATGTGGTTGAATAACAACCGACGATCTCTACAAAACTACTGCGAAACTACTGCAAAATCAATTGCGAACTGGTAAATCCAAGGTACCTATCCGCTTAGAGATAGGCGGGAGATGACGTTACAGGTACACCAATCAGTAGTCTCGATAATCGCCCAATCGAGTACATTCAAGTCCAAGTTCCCAGCCTCCTGAATTCTTTGGTGACTCACGTCTTTAACCAACCCTCGTCCCGCTATGTACAAATATCTGAAGCTACCTACTTACCCACCCTACTTCGGCATCTTCCCCTTCTCGGGATCGGTTCCTAAAGTTAGCTTCGTATCATGTATTCTTTTTTCTCTCGTCTGATTGGTGTGTGAATTCCTCTCGACATCGCGCCGTGAAAGAACTACATACATTACAAAGGGTCCGAGCAGTCAATTTTGACTAAATAAGTTCTACCGTTACAGCGTATCTCAGCTAGCCGCAGCTCTATAATGCGCCTAAATTCTACGGCTTAGAGAGCTGTCAAGCGTTGGCTTAAGTTGGTCGAAACAGAAGTTTCTAGGATTCTTTAAACATCCCAGTCGAAAGACACGATGGTACTGCAGGGATTGCAAACCACTTTACGCGGTACACCGCGTACCATCCCACTTTCGCGTATTAAACCCCACCAACCCTTTTCTCTTTTCACCCCTTGATCTTCTTGGCCAAGACAAAGTTGCTCATAGTATTCGCCTTATTGCTTGCTAGACTGCTAGAGTTGGAATTGAAGTTGCTAGGCAACCGTGCCTTTCATACTGTTCGTCATATAGACCCATTAATGATAATCCCGGTGCAAGTAAGCTTGCTTTTCATGCAAGCACTTAAAGCAGCCCTGTTAACATACATTGTTGCCCTTCTCATTGAAGAAGAAAACTGGCCAGCCAAACGAAATTACTTGCATCCCTCTCCCTCTTTAGTCTTAGGCTTCACTCTTTTACCATAGGAATAACACTCTTTTAATCCATTATCTCGGCATCAAACGGCCTCTTAATCTTGCCACGGACCATCTTGCTTGTCTCCACCTTTCGTCATACTTTCACTTCACAATATTTGATCGACAGCTTGGTGTGATTCCTTCTCAACGACCTCCCAAGCTTCAGAGCTTTATCTAGGAGCCCTGACATATATTCCACCAGTCCTCCCTCACTGTCTTTCACGTCCACTCCGTTCGTGACTCGCCCATTTCATTTTACCTTCGCATGTTCAGATCATCATTGAAATCGAGGGCTCTCTCCGAATTGCTTTACACTTAGCTGTGCACTTCTTATTGAGAAGGCTCGCCTCCTCTAAATCTTGCCCATTCTACATTTCCCGGGCTATCCCACTGGCGGTAAATCGTCGCCATGTCTTCCAACAATGACAGTATGATGACCAGGTTCTTGTTTGCCATTTTGAAGCAGAAGAACCTCAAGGATGTAAGTTGAGTTTTGGCTATAACGCGTGTCCTAGACTTGCGGGGTTGGAATCCACTAACATATAATATAGATCAATTGGGACGCGGTTGCTAAAGACGAGATCTTACCCCAACCAATTTCCAATGGCCATGCCGCTCGCATGAGATACTCACGTTTCAAAATCGCTATGCTAGGCAATGAGCCTACTAGACGAAACCGAACGGGACAGGCGAAAAACCGAGTCACAAAGTCGAAGAAGGAACCAAAAGGGAAGAAGGACAAACTTGTCAAGCTAGAATCTACTCTAGAATCACTCCCAGAATCCTCGGTCACCCCAGAGCCATCCGAGGTGCCCGCTCCCAAGATTAAACAAGAGAGCGCCCCCTACAGCTTTGATGATCGGTTCACTCCTCGTCTAACTCCGGGACCATCTGGCCCAATTCCGGCTACTTCGGTTTCGAGCAACCATGGCGTGATTCAACCTCGATTTCTTACACCGGGCAGTGATAGCGACTTTTTCTCTCCATCTCCAGCCTTCACACCCAGCCCCACCAGTGAGATGGTCACTTCCCAGAACTCATTCAACTTCCGCGATTCGCCGTGCCCCGACCACCCCGACCCGATGTGGCCGAGTGTTCCGCACTATACCACCTTCGGGGCAGGTTCTTCATTTGATGAATTTAGAGCTAGCCCTTGCGAGCCACCCCACGTGCATTCTCATCCGCACATGCCTCCGTTTCGGACAGTTGAATTTGATGAAGATTACGTCGACGTGAAGCACGAATGGGACGAGTACTCTTGATGGACATGTCAGGGGCTCGGATAGGCTGGTTTTGGGCTATGATGATGTCAGGTCAGATAGCTAATATACGCTGTGGGGGTTATGAGCTGGTTTCTACGGGGAATTGATCAGGGAAACACGTGGATCGCTAATCTGTCATGGGGTACTTTCTATGCGGTTGGTAACAAAGGAAACCTGGGCGTTTCGGGTCGAATATCTGGCTTCTTGAGGGGTTTGATGCTGGTGAATTCACTCATTTGGGCTTTGTAAGACTACTACTTAGTGGCACGATTTCGACATCTGGCATTCGGACATGCCTGGGCTTGGTTGATGAGTACCTAGAGACGCTATACTGTTTCTATGAATGGAGGCTAAAGACATTCTTTGAGTATGTCGTATGAGCATGTGATACCCCAATTCAATAATTCTTGATGTATTGTGACTTTCAACCGGCCCTAGGAGCCAAACTAAACTATATCAGCTTTTCGTGATGATAAGTTATCAAACTACACGATGGTTCTCAGCTATTATGTAACCAGGAATGTGCTGAGATATCCAACCAATCAGATACGTCCAAGGGTTTTTTCAGAGTGTAAAGATCACGGGATTCTGTTATCTATTTGCCTTACGCAACTTCGGCCGGGAAACTTGCAGCACTACTCGTCGTTTCTGATAGCTATGTAACCTTTAAACCCTTCTTATTCCATATCACATATAGATCCCGCATGATAGGGTGGCTATCGTCATTATTGTCTAATCGTCTGACGGCGACGTAACGCGCGAAGAGGCACTTATACGAGTATTCACGCATCGTCCCGGAGTGCCCCAGCAATAGGGCTAGCGTCCACCGATGACCCGAGATCTGGACACGGGGCTGAGGCGGATGTAACATGGGTTGTCAGCCTTGAAGTAATTTTGCAGCTGAGAGTCGGGGCCCATGCGCGGGTATCAACGTCGGTGGCGTGTGGGGAAGGGTATTTGACCCCGGTATTTCACCATGTTTTTTGACCTAATGCGGTACTTATGGTCTCAGAATGGGTTGTGATAATGCACAGAAGTAGCTTGGAGAATATGTACTTTGGAGATACCCAGCAGGCGAGGCGAAAACTGTTGAGCGAGTTGCGGGAGTTGCGTCTTCTTAGACTATACTTCCTACCACTGTCACGTAAGAATCCACCCCGTGTTCCGCGGCTTGGCTATCGGATATGCAATGTGACTTGTGGTAACACCTCAAGTGACGACGACGACATGCTTGGGAGGCTATTCTAGAATTTCACATATTATCTGTAGACTGTCTGTTACGTACTTATCGTACGAGGGTGTCCTCGGAAACCCGGACGAGCTTATCGTCAAGCCACCCGCGCTTGGACACTTCGTCCACTGCAATCAACCCCATTGGGACGTTCCTCGAGAAATCGCCTCCAATGTTCGCCATGCTGGTATGGGTCGTACGTGATTCGCGGCCATCCTCGGTCTAGATGATAGGGATATATCGACCAGTTTTACAAGATTGTCAGGCCTGTATCTTACCGTCCATTTAAGGCTAGTTAGAACCTGTCCTCTTAATCCAACCATCATTATAACATCGCTTAGGTATTACTATTCACACCCTACATTATGTTTGACTGTTTATAGCGCTTACACCGGTGGCGTGTTGCGGTTCTATCACCAGGTACTAGCGAGGCCTACGTTACATGCCCAATAAGTATTCCGTGAGCCATAACGCCGGAGTATTAAGCCACTTTCCAATTAGGCATAGTATGATATTAGAATGTGATATATCGACCGCGGTCAGATTCGGTACCTTGGCTGCGGCGTTCGCCTTCACAAATCTGTAGCCAATACCTACTACGTATTCCAAGGAAATCTCGCATGGGATTTTCTAGGGAGTCGCCAAACCCGTGCTCCAGCTGATCCAAGTTAATAGTTACATATGAAATCTTTAGCGAATACGTGGGGTAAGTAGTAATTCTAACCGAGGATACAATCAAACGGCCGGATCCCACTCAGACAACATGGGGGCCACGTTATTATGATCTACGTGCATATCTTACTACGAAGTGGGAGCACATTTCGGTAAGTTAACCTATCTATTATCAAGCGTTTAAGTACGTGAATAACTAATGCTGCTTATCAAATTTGTAATTGTAATACTTCCTGCCCAGCGCCTTCTCAGCTACACTCCACGGTCTCCCACGTTCTATGCGGACGCCTGCTTCCCCGAGGGCATTTACAGACTTTCCATGTTTCAGGTCTGCTCAAGTGATTATATGCCTCTTGGCAGTATAATGACTATTGCGGTATCTTCGTTCCTACTAACGCTTTAAAAGTTCCAGCCAACGAATGTACTGTAGTCAAGCTTGCTTTTTTCGCGGTTAGACTTTTGTTCTACGGAGGTTTTCAACTTCGAAAAGATCTGCGGTCAGAATGTACAAGACAGGGTTGAAAACGCCGGCCTGTTACCCTGAGAGATATACGAGATAGAGGCGCTGTGGTTGCTTTAAATCATATCTCAGGTAATTTTTCATCTATCACTAGTAAGCTTACATTTTCAAGTTCCTTTTGAATAGGACTTTACGAATATAGGTAGTCATATTAATCCATCATTTTCTTCAAGCACCTTACACACCTTAAAGTAGCTTATTATTGGGAAATTAAGTTATCTGTCTTGTATTAGGGTGGGATGAAAAGTAGTCAAATGAGATTTCGCGTACGGTTTCATCAAGCCTATAACATCTTCTGGTCTGATTACATAAGTGCTCCCAATGTGCCGGTTAATTACTTGAGTTGACTTAGACTGGACTATTTCGATTGCTCATTTTCAACAAGTTGCCCAAGTAATTTCTTTTATCTTTATCCAGTTGCTACTTGAAATGAGGGTATTCGGATCTACCTTCTTACGTATTTATATGACGTAAGTGGTGGTTTAGATAATATAACGTATTGTCGCCATTCATAGTTGAGACTTTATACTTATTCGGTGCTTGACTAACGTTGATCTAGTTAAGGACTTAATCCAGTGTATAACGGTTACTACTTAGTGGGCTTGAAAGTGTTGAAAATTAGCTTAAACAATCTCCAGTTTATTGTAGGTAGCTTGTTGGGTTGGCTCGGCCTGTTGGAGTTTTGACTATTACCTAAGTATTTAGGTAGTTGGTATTGGGCGGTGTACACCGAATAAGGAAACGAAGGTATTGCAATGTCTGTTGTTGTTTTGATGATGATTACGTGTGTGTGTGTGTGTGTGTGTGCTACTTGAAAATATTGGTGTTTTGGGCTTGGACCAGTCCACATGGCAACACGTGACTGTGTTACATAGGAAATTATTATATCCTAACATTGGCTCTATCAAAGTTTACTTTTATACTATATTAAAACAGTCTCCGGGTCAATTATAAAAATAAGTAAAATCTCGACCTAGTCTATATATTTGAAGTTTCCGCCGTGTGTGGAATCTTTGCAGGTTTGGTACATTGCTGATCCAGATTGATGCTCCGCTTGAGGCGGTGGGGCGCATCGGACTCGGGAGGAGCCGAGGAACAACATCCCAAACGTCCGGGCCGATTAGTTTCAAACAAGTCGTGGACCCAGATATTTAAGCCTAAAATGAAGAAAATAGCGAACGATATGAGACGCTAGTGGATCTAAAAGGCCCGTAAAGACACTACCTAGGTAGGTACCTAAGTACGTTTGGATTGATAAGCGCAACATGAGCCACATCGTTAGTGAACATGATGTCGGTGAAGAAGATCATGGATCCGATCGGCTTTATCTAGGTTAAGGATTGGAAAGTATTTAGGAGATCTGGTGAAAGCTCCGAGGTAATACATATACTATGTATAGCGAGTAGCAACTTGGCGTGCTAACACCAATCAGGAATTCTTACATTTTCGGTATTGCGCTGAGGATATGAGTGGCGTTAATGTTAAAAGCGTGTAAAATGACGGCATTTGAGCTGACAATACATATTTCAATGGGTTGGTTTCCTTTTAAGGCAATCTTTGGGACTGTATCAAGCGATTACTGGCCAGAAAGCCATCCTTACCTAATACCTAATTTTTGAACGTCCCTTCATCGGAGCGCAGCGCTCGAGAGATGCGAAATGCAAGGCTGGCCCTAGTAATTCATATCAATAAACTGATAAGCCGTTGTAATATTACTCCGAGCTTCGCGATTGAACTTAAAAGATATCAATTAAGTGTTATTCGGCGATATCTCAACTGTATTAGTAAAGGCTGAAAAGTTTGACAGCTAAGTAAGGCGGTGTGAGGTTGTCCCAATGTTTCAATACTACCTACCAGAGGCAATTTTTACGAGAATTGAAAGGACGGGATATATACGTCTTTTTCTTTCATGGTAAATGCTAACCTAGATTCTAAAATACGTGTGCCCCTGACTAAAATCTTACCGTCGAGGACATCTTCTTGCGTTTCTGGTTGGAAAAAAACATACGAAATTCCCGAATGTGAATATTAAAATAATTAAAATATAAAATAATAAAGCGGTGGAAAAGATCGACCTGTGGAACTTTTCTACTGCATGGAGATAAATTCACTATCACCGTTATGCCCATTATTTACCAGGAGAAAAACATCCGAAGAGTTATTAGTGGCTACCTAGCTATGAGGTTACCTCCAGGTGTTATGGTCGTTTCCCAGTTTTTTAGTGTTGAAACATATTCGTCGCCACAGATAGCCTCACTACTACGTAAAGTCCACTCTAGAAAAATTCTTGAGTAATGAGTACCAAGATATTTTCCCTCACCCCTTCGTTTTATTGAGAGTGCATTGTTGTTTGGACTGCAGACGTAGCTATTTCTACTAATTACCGATGGTGTCTAATGTTAAACCTTAATAGCCTGTGAATATACCTATTAGCCATTTTTTCGTGGAACTTCGACTCGGTAGCTCTTTCATTTTTGACGACGGTAATGTTTAGTACTTGACTACTTATTAATATTGGCATTAAGTCCGATACAATAAACCCGATCTATGGTAAGTCCGACACTTATCTGAGTGGGTAGTGACGAGTTAAATATATGCGTCTATTAATTTTTTTGGTATATCTGGCGCCATTGCGACTAATGATGCTAGCCCATCACTAGCCACAATGTAACAGTGGGACCCTCTACACATTTTTCTCTAGTATGCAGACTTACACCGTTGATTTGCTTACGCAACATCAATTCTTCTATGAGGCCCATACAAGAGAATGCCTAGGTTACGCAGGTAGATTCCATTTATTTGTAGTTATCCACATGTAGGTGCCGAGGTAAGTATAATGTATGTACAGGTCTGCACCGTAACTTCTATCCACCGTTACCTCCACTTATCGTCATGGATTAGGAACCCGCAATCGGCTTTTTTGGCCGTAGAGTGATTAAAGTTCGAATGACAATGGGATGAGCCGGAAGCGACGTGGCAGTTGCTTCCCTACTTAAGTGTAAGTGACCTGCATTGTAACTTGAGTCGGGATTAAAGATCGAGTGCTTAATTCCACAATAAAATTCAATATTGAGACAACACAAAAATCTTCATCTCTTCATCTTTGACCTCATATCGGGCACCAAATCACCATATATCTCAATATGGCAGCACAGGCAAGCCCTAAGTTTGAAGGCTGGCTGGGCAAGTCTCCAGATGCCGTCAATGGAAAGATGTGAGTAACATCAATAGTTATTTCCTCATCATCTAGTTTGTCCCTGGAGTTGTTTTTCCTTCTTGAATGGTAGAAACACATATATAGGGAGCTTGCCTTACTTCCAAGACATATCCGAAATATCTGGACTTTTTATCGAATTACATAATCACTGACAACCATTGTTAAATAGGGAATGGGGAGAATATGAGCCCAAGAAATGGACCGAGGATGATGTGGACATTGAGATATCACACTGCGGTATTTGCGGTAGTGATATACACACGTTGAAGTCCGGCTGGGGCCCGACTCCCTACCGTACGTCCCCCTTTTAATTCTTTCGGATTAGTTCGCGTTATTTTTCTGACATTATCATAGCTTGCGTCGTGGGCCACGAGATCGTCGGCAAGGCGATACGTGTAGGAGCGAACGTGAAGCATGTCAAAGTTGGCGATCGCGTTGGAGTTGGTGCGCAAGCAAGGACTTGCCAGAAGAGCACCTGCCCGGAATGCTCGAACGGCTTGGAGTCCTATTGCCGAGAAGGCTTGATCAACACCTACGGCTCCATTTACCCGGATGGAGAAGGCAAAACTTATGGCGGCTATGCGGACTATAACCGTACAAACGGCCATTGGGTCTTCAAGATTCCGGATGGAGTTGATTCGGCCACCGTCGCTCCGATGCTCTGTGGTGGCATCACCATGTATTCGCCCCTAAAGCAAAACGGCTGTGGACCAGGCAAGACAGTGGGAATTGTTGGTGTTGGCGGTTTGGGTCACTTCGGTATTCTTTTCGCTAAAGCCCTGGGAGCCGACAAGGTCGTCGGTATCTCGAGAAAGGAAGAAAAAAGGGATGATGTACTGAAACTTGGTGCCGATGAGTACATTGCTACGGGCGAGGAGAAAGACTGGGCAACGAAGCACCGACGAACCCTGGACATCATCATCAGTACAGTGTCTCATTCAAAGATGCCGTTGAGTGACTACCTTTCTCTTCTAAAAGTAAGGGGCATTTTTATTCAAGTTGGGTAAGTTTGTCTCCATTTCACCTTGCTAATGCAGTGGCCAAACTTCGTTCAAAACTAATTTATTGTGTAGCGCTCCTGATGGAGGCGAGCTTCCCCCCATCAATGCATTCCAGTTAATTTTGGATGGAAGCAGAATTGGCGGTAGCGCCACTGGATCTCCTTGGGAAATAAGAGAAATGCTGCAGTTAGCAGCAGATAAGAAAATCAAATCTTGGGTTCAGGAACGACCTCTGAAGGACGCCAACCAGGCAATCATCGATATGGAGGAGGGTAAGGCCCGTTACCGATACGTGCTCGTAAATGAGAACTTTGGCAAACATTAAAGGAGCAGCTGATTTTCGGAGGCATAGAACATAGATGCTGGAGATATCGAACCAGTTGACTTAGAGTAAAGCGATTCATTTCCAAGAAAATAAATAATATAATTATCCCACTATAATAACCGTCCCAAAGTCCAAGTGTTGTCATGGTATAAGTGGAGCTACCTACCTAGTCAGGAATAATAATAGACCTAGGCGCGTAGCGCCCTCGAAAGAGGATACACAAAAGACAAGCGTTAATAGATTTTTACTACTACACTATAACTCTATAGCAGCTTTTCTGTTGCTTCTAACACTTAATCTACGTATGACACACATCAAGGGTTCTCTCTGGCAAGTGTATAGCTGTCAGCTAAATCCGTTTGATTCTACTGCTTACGTAAAAACTATTCTGAAAGTTTGACTTGCTCTTAGATTATTGTGATTGATATCGAGTAGCAACATAAATATAAAGCTAGACCATTTTTCTTTTAGAATGTCTTACTTGATCGATATGTCCTACAACCTATACCGTTCCATTATATCAAGCTTCAAAGTTATCAGATAAAAAAGAACTGGTAACTGACACTTAATATTCTAGACGATATAACTCTATCGGGATACGGAGGTGTTCTTGCTCCGACTTCCTCCGTCTAAAGCTGTAATCAATTCTACTCCTGTCAATTCAGCTGCCTGTTCTCTAATTCACATAGGTACCTCAAATTAAATCAGCCTTAACACATAAGTTTCACATTAAATGTTGTCTAATAGAGTACGTACTTGTGAATGTAAAAGAGTCTGACGTGAATATCGCCCCAGCCTTTGAACACACCTTTTTAGCTATATCTATAGATAAAGACTTGCCCTTAGCGCTTTTAATTTAAGCTGTAGGAAGTCCATTCGAGTCGAGTTGAACTTTGTCAGTTAGGTAGTTGTCATTACATCTTACATCATATTTCCATATAACGATACCTAACTATATTGGAGAAAGTATCTCTTTAGGACAAATCATTAAGTTTGTAAGTTATATTTTCGTCTTGAACGGAACACATTCATTCTGGTGTCTCATAAACCAACAGGTTAGTCTGAATTATTTCTGCTAAGAAGACAGACTTTCTCTCCATACTAGAAAGCTCATGCTCGGATAAAGGTAAGGCTCCAGATTTGTTTCGTTTGTCATTCCTCTTCTTTTGACAGCTGTATGCCAAACACCTCATCGTCAAACTTGCCCCTATGTCAGACTGTTGTTTATTATGGTTAAATCGCTGACTAAGTTGTCAACGTCGTCAGCTCTTCCATTTACACGTCGATTTGTCGTACGTACCTAAGTAAAAGCTTACACAACAGCAACTCTATAGCGGCGACTTAGACGTACGTCTGGTGGGCTAGACGGCAAACTCGACAACAAACTCGATGACCTAATTTGGGTAGTACCCGCCTTGTTGTTGAAATCTATCTACTTGGAAACCATTGTTTCTTAGTTCACGATCCTCGCGTCCTCCTTCCCACTTGAGTCCTAATCCCCTCCCATCTGATTCTTCTTTCAACACACCACCCTCAGGCCCAATCCCTTTACCACCTTCAACTTCTGGTACCTGACTACCACTACAACGAAACAACTTTCATACCAAATTCTAAGCCAGGAAGCTTTTATTTGGCACCACTGAGAAATCTACCGCAACAATACCATCTTCCCTCGAAGTAAGTTGTATAGTATTTCAGCATCATATCCCCTCCGCTTCATCATTCCACACCTTGATCTCTGCTGGGTGTCCGCACGAGAGCCTTCTCGCAACGTTCCCATTGCCGCTTGCACTTTAGCCCTCGTGACTACTCCCTCGACCCTACGATTTCTCTCTTCAATCTGAGACGTCGCTGGATCACCCACCCAACACTACCTCCCCATCCAAGTACAAAATATTTTCGCAATATTCAACCTATGCTCACATCAGTTTACTGATCTAATATACAGCTAGGTCGCGGTATCTATCGCTCGGATGTAAGTGGAAATCCCTGTGTACTTTTGTGTCCTCGAACCCCCATCCTATCAAGCGTCATATATTTGCCTGTCGTCTTGGCCCTCCGCATCGCATTAACCCTGCTTCCTCCCCTTCCGATGCTACGACATGGTCCCGGACATATTCCTCATCATCACCACACCCCAAGGCTCCATCTTTCCTCTGTTCTTCTCGATTTCCATCTATGAAGTGGTCGAAGAGTCGAAGTGATAGACTATCCTCGATTACTATAGGCTACACTGCCATTGCTACTTCTCCTCCTCCTCTTAATATTTCCCATTTGGCATGAACTAACTATTGGATCTAATACAGCATCTAAGATCAACCAAATTTCCACCGCCAAGCCGACTGTGTCAAACAGCAAACATGCCTTCCAAGGAAACAAGCGTACCCAGTGCTGGTGACCAGAAGTTCTTCGCCGTCCTGTTCAAGTACCTTCCCGCCGGCCTAGATCTTGACTGGGACGGACTTGCCCAGGAGCTCAATCTGAAGAACACAAAGATTGCCAAGGTATGGCCTACTGTTAAATGCATATGATTCATACTAACCATTTAAAGACTCGATTCTCACAGATCCGACGCAAGTATCAGCAGGGAGAAGCCGCGGGAAGCTCTCAGCAAGGCAATGCTTCCAAGGTCACCAAGCCGACTAAGGGCAAGAAGGCCAAGGTTGCCGGCAAGGGCCAAGACGACAATGATGGCTACGACGACGATGAGGATGTGAAGCCCGCTACTAAGAAGGAGGTCGAAGATGATGCCGAGGGTGTGGTTAAGATCGAGGATGGTGATGATGAGCTTATTGCTACTTAAGGTGATCAGTCGTGCTGATGTTTCCTCTTCTACCAACCTCAGTGGTTGGTGTCTTCGAGGATGACCATGGCATTTAATGGCATACGGGATCTGGTAATGCTCTTTACGACAAAGTAAACGAAGCTCTACAACACAAATCGCAGGGAGGGTCTCGGGTTTGATTCGCGATGCAATTAGTATTATAGTCTACACACTATATCAACAACGGTTGTTTTCATCATGGTTACTGTGCTCCTCTCACAATTACTGAACCGGGTGATGCTAAAATTCAGGCCCATAATATCTAGGCCTATGCCTTGCGTAGAGACCAATAGGTCAGACTTAATAGTAGAGCTACCCTATGACATAACTACTGGACCTGTAGACGAGCAAAAGGCTTATTTTTATATGACCACTAAGTGTGTCCTATCTAGTTTATACTGTCCAGATCACCCTGGGTTAAGTCCATATTATCGAGCCTCGTCTACCTTCCTGGAGTTGTATCTCATGTACCTTTTTTCTCTCCTTCCCAACATCTAGAGCAACTGCCATAATACGTGCCCCAACATATTCACGTATTCACCTGACATCTGGGCGGTGGGGTGTTTTGAGAAAGAACACAACTAAGCGGATACCTGAGAACCCCTAAGAGCCCTGAGACCTGCGCGAAGTATAGGGCATTAAGCTACTGTCCGTTGGGAGATTAGGAAAGTGAGCAACTTCCCTCAGGCAGACAAATTGAGAACCAAATCTTATTTCTTTCACCTAAGTCTGAAGAAATAATTTTTGTTTCCCTTTTCCAACAACAACAATCTACTCACATCTTCCCTCTCACCATTCCAACTTCAGACCTCAAAGAATTTCTAAGTCTTACCACACCTGTCTATTCTCTAAAGTAAGTAATAACTCTGGCTAATACCCTGTCACTTTCAGTCTTGCCTTTTGTATTGTTTCGTCAACCTGTTCTCGATTATTCTCAAAATTGGCTATCTCTGTTAAGGCTGAACATAAGCACATTCAGTTTTTTTTTCGAGCCCACTACTAACATTAAATAAGACATCCAAAACAATGGATTTGGGGAACGGAACAGTCGTAACGGTTACGCAGGCCGTTATGATGGTCGCAATCTTCAATAACGCAAGCTGGGACTTGCTCAAGACTGTGGATTGGGCCGCCGTCAGTGCCGAAACTGGGCATACCTCGAGCAAAAGTGCTCGTGACACTTTTACAAAACGTTGCGGCCGTAAGGGTGTATGTAATTCCCTATATACCTATGACAATGTACAACATTTACTAACTTAATCTGTCTTAGTGGTTGGAAGGAGGAGTGACTGTAAGTCAAATTACCTATATTACATCTATTATTATTGCCCAACCCAAAACACCAACTAACAAGTTGGGTTTCCTAGATTCTTCCTGCTGGTGGTGGTCGTGGTGCCCGTGGTGCTTCTGGCGCTTCTGGCGCCACTGTTGCCCCTGCAGCCACCCCTGCAGCCGCACCTCCCGCTGGCCCTCCCGCTGCTGTGCCGGCTGTGGCGCCCGCTATCAACGCCGTCCCCGCCACGGGACCCACTACCACTCTGGCCCCCGCACTCCCTGCCGCTGCCGCTCCGGCTCCGGTCCCGGCCCCGGCTTCTCTCCCTGCTCCGGCCCCTGCGCCGCGCCGCCGCCGTGCCAGAGGAATTCTTCGCAGAGCTCTTTGGGGTCGCATTTTGAGGAGACGTGCTTCTAGGCGCTAAAAAAAATGCTCTGGGTGTAATCTTTCTTGTGTACTTTAATCTGCCCAACGGCTGTTAGCCTCGTTGTTCGGGCCTGCACTAATTGAAAGAAGAAGTTTGATATGTTGGTTTGAACCAGCCTTGGAGAGGCCCTGTATGTATCTATTAGGTAATACCAAAAGACCTCTGCCATCGAAAGTCGATACATCATAAATTGTTACAGTAAATGACGTAGTCCTTGTAATGCTATGCCTCGGAGTCCGGAGCAGCACAGTACTGAGTACCGAGCACTTCCAGCTATATTAAGCCTCTTTAACTCAGCTGAAATGCCCCCTACTGTTCATCTTCAATACTCATACTACTTCCTTTACCTCTATTTCGACCAGCATATTCCAGTACGAATGACAAAGGCATTTGTAGTATGGAATAGTTGGACCTTTGACATGCCACACGACAACATCTAAAGATTAAAGCTTGTCTTAAGTTTTATCTTTGTGGCTACTCTTGGAATCTTGTCTAAGATAATTCACGACACTCAAAGATCAGCTTCTGACAGTTCACCATAGTATAGTAAAAGAATTTTCATATTTTAGCTGGTGGTCCCGACATCAACTGTCCTACTGGATCCCCAAGTGTGTCCACCATCACGACATATGCCCAGCAGCACTGATTTCCGCATACATAAGCCATAAGCAACTCTAAGACCGAGTGCCTTCCAAGTTGATCCTCAGTTATTTCAGTAGTGGCCGAAGCTTAGGCCGTTGCCTGGTATATCGAGTCTGACTGCATTTTATGCGGACCTGCTACACTGTGGCAACAACCATCCAACAACCATCTACTAGAAGCAAATTGCAACTTCTTCGAGGGTAGGCTGGGTACAGGGCCTACTTCCTTACTAGTAGCAATCAAAGACAAAAAAGCCAAAGCTTCCACTACTTGATCAAAAATTTTCGACTGACCTGTCAATCCTAAAAACCTATCCTCCCACCCATCAACTTCAACAATATCAACCACCCCTCCACTTCTCTTCATACCCAAGGTCTTCGTACTTCATCTTCAAACCTTTCTACTTGATCCCTCTAGCCTGACAACCTCACGTCAGTCACCGACAAGATGCCTGCTCTAGACGTTGACTCTCAGTTCAAATTCCTCATCGTGTGCATCAAGCACTCGACTGCTGGAAAGGTGAGCGCTACCCTTTTGATGATTAACCAAATCTTCGCGTACCAAATGTATCTCTCAGTTGAGTTTTACTGACCTAAATAGATTGACTTCGCTGAGGTCGCCAAGGAATGCGAGATTGTCTCGAAGGGCGCAGCGTAAGTATCTCCCTAGTAATTACCATCATATTTCTCTATATAATATTACTTTACATTCATTCCAATCCTTTTCTCTAGACTAACCACGTTCCTACCTTCCAGTGCCAAGCGATATGAGCGTCTCATGAAGTCCCACGGCATCGGCGCTGCCGGTGGCGTGGGAGGCGTCAAGAAGGAGTCCAAGGACAGCAAGGACGGCGTCAAGACTCGCACCCCCAGCAAGAAACGCAAGCTCGCTGCCGTCGACGAGGATGCCGGCGACGCTGACGAGCCCGTCAAGACCGAGGTCAAAGGTGAAGTCAAAACTGAAGATTCGATCGCCGTGAAAGCGGAGCAGGAGAACGGTTGTGGCGCGACTGCTGCCGTACCCGGTGTCGCGTCTACCAACGAGGCAGCGCCGACGAGTCAGCCTGACATATCGCCTTCTACCAACGCCCAGAATGACGACGACGACGATGAAGTCCTAGTCATCAGTGCTACGGAGAGGCGCGATGACGGCGGTAGCGTCCCGGTCTACGGCAGTGGTGGTCATCATCACTCGTATTCGCATCCGCACTCGCCTGCTCCAATTACTCCGGGGGTCCACTCCTTTGATTATGCTGCTAACATGACGTTCCCTCAGCAGATGCCCATGACGACGGCGACGACGGCGAGGATGCCCTCGTCGCATAATTCCCTTCCCTACGGGTTCCCCTCTGGCACATGGATATTCCCTCATGACACACATGGATATCTCTAGCAAACACCAGTCCCTCGTTATTACCCCAAGACACACCATCAAACCATTCCATTCTCTTTTATCGTGGTATGTATTCGACATAATATTCGATTATTTCTTCATTAGCTAATGAGATACAGGCAGGAATGATCTATGGTACACACAAATAAGGGATGAGTTCTGGGTGGATTTCGGCTGATTTGGCAATCGTATGGGGGCTCTTTCGGGTAGTATCGTCGTTCGTAGCTTAGTTTCCGATGTTCTCTTGACACTCGGCCAAAAGGTAGACTCTATTTATTAACAGAGTCTCGTTGCAATCATATCCGGTACTGTTTTCTGACTATTGTGACCCCCTTTTAAACCCCTGACGCTTGGGTAATCCACAGAGCTCAAAGGCACAGTTACGCAGAAATCTCAGTAGGCTTAATAATTACGTCGGGAGGGACGTAATAAGCCTAGAACTACCAGAGGATTCTATATGTAGGAAATATGTGGTACTGATGAAGTATCGTCCTGATTTTTTAGTATTTCTGATGTCTACCTGTAAGCTAGTAGGATGTGATACTTCTAGAAACTCCAAAGGCGTCACACAGAGCAAAGATATTTTCTTTAAATATGTTTCGGTAGTATTCTTTCAAGACGAAGTATCCAGAATTTATCTTAGGGGCACTATCATCCATACAACTGTTCTTCGGTAATAATTGGAAAAGGTCGGAATATTTCTGGTTTCACATAAGAGCATATTAATAGGATATCCACGCTTAAGTTTTACAAGTCTGAGGTGATCCTGCCATTGGTATATTATATGTGTTCCTGTCCGACTTAGATAAAATACTGGCGGTTCGCCATATGGAAAACCACGAAGATCAGGGCCTTTCAAGGTGGTGTACTTATAAACTGTTCGACTATAGTTATTAATCGTATGCACCTCTCAATAGAGCCACCAAAACACATGAATGTTCAAGCTCGGGTTCTTATGGTGGAACTTTAGAGCTCCATGGAAGGTGGTTCGTAGGTTTCGACACTGGATAACTGAAACATATCATATTCGTAGGTATCGCAGAAAATCCATCAGGCTCTGAACTACCAAGCACAGTACAGCTTGATATTTACCTACCTTGCCCAGCCTTTTGCTTCTAGTAATATTGTTCGCAACAGGATATTTATATTAAAAGTACCTTTGTTTACATTCACAAACTCGAGCTTCGAGAGAAGGGGGTCTATTTCTATCAATGGGTAAGGGCTACATATCTTGTGAGCAGCTATTCTCAGTATTATGGAATTAGGGACGTCTTTTAATCTTCTCTATAGAAGTCTTGACTAGTTTGAATAGATAGAGGCGTCTAGGAGGTATGAACCGAGGATTTCTCCAAACTACATGTTGCAAATGCTATTTTGTTGAATTATTGCTTCCATCGACTATACAAGACACAAGATCTGATATCCTCCAGTCATTTCGGCAACTCTGCATCGTATCCTCTAGCTCTTCTTTAGGACATGCTTCCTATCAGCCACTTGAATTCTACCGTGAAATATCCTGTTTATTACCACTAGCTAGGATACGCCATGCCTATGTAATAGAGAATTTTATGTTATTTGCTAAATATTTTCATACTTCTAGATTGTTCCATCGATATAACCAAACTTGGAGTGTTGATAACAGGACTATCCCAGAGCAAACGTATTGTTAGGCCAAGCGATGGTCATAATTATCAACGATATATTACTCCCTCACCGTCCCCGTCAACTCAAGTAGTAAAAAAGAATACATATATTTTTACCCAGAGTAGTTGCATGATCTATACCTAACGGCCTTGAAGTATTATATATGTCAGCAATTCCTCTAATCGCTTCTGGAATGGATTTCAGAATGCCTGTTATAGCATTATTACGTCGCTTAATATCTACTAATAGGGACGCTCGCTCAACTATCTCTAGGATGTTCAATAAAAAATCTGTGATGAGGAGCGTTGAGCATCCGCGCTACGAAATCTAGACACGGCGGAAGAACTACCGAGTCATTGGATATCAGCGGCAGTTTTACATTGACAGGCGTGTATTAGATTTCTCCCATATTTCCTCTTTTTCAATCGCGTACGTACCCAAGTACATGCAGATCCTGTCTACATCATGCCTATGCACGTACCTTCGTACCACCAAATAACCCGATCACATCTTCCCAAGATCTGATTCAGGGACCCACATTTGTTTACTGGGCAGCGGTATGTGGGTCTGTCCGCAATTTATTTGGCCGTGCGTACCCTCATTGACAGGGAAGTTACAACTCCCAAGAGTGGGGCCGTGCGCCAATTCCAACGTCAACTCACTGAGCCGCAATATTCTCAGTGATCCTCAGGGTCATAATCAGGAAGTACTTAGGTACGAACAGGCAACGCACAAACAGGACATACCTGTATGGATGCTACACGTACTTAATTTTTAGCTTGATTATCAGTCTGTGATAATATCGATTTGTTTTATGGTACTTTCACGCAATACTTTTGGAACCTATGATAATGCTCTAAAATAAAATCACTGATCTTAGATATCCCCGTTAATTATCAACACCAATAACCTTATATAACATAATAATTATTGATTCGATATGAGAAAACATTTCTTTACTTGTCTTTTACTTAATCAAATATGAGGGCCACTAGAAGATTAAAACAGATTTTAAATCTATTGCAGCTGTAACGCAATACCTACCTCACCTTGTAATTATGTTTTTAGACCAGAAAAAGTAGACACCTCATAAATGTATGATTTCTAGTATTCATTGATATCCCCTAGTCCTTGAGATCATGTTTCAGGAAAAGATCACGATATACTGAGCGTTCAGCCTTAGTCAGTGTTTTGGTATTACATTACTTGGATCAAATAAATGCTACAAGTACCTGAGTATTTTCTATTGATTCTAGTGATCTGGTAAATTGGTTAGCTGTAAATAATGCACTTTTGGTAAAATACCAAGTCGTATTGTGGAGGCATGTCGCGAGCCCGAGGTACGTTTGTGTGTACGTACCCCAGCTCAGATGTTTGATTTTCTATTACAACTCAAGGATCAAATTATCGTATGCATTTTGATAGGCAAGATACCCCTAATCACTTAGGTACATAGGTACGGTTGCAGGTGCAAGATCAGGTTACAGGTCGGGATAAGGTCAAAGCTTCTTGATCCAGTGGACAACAGGGCAAACAGGTTGGAAATACAGACTGATGCAGCTGGCATAAATATTTTTTTTTAATCATCCGGGTGATTCATTTGATTTCAAAACCACCACGCCCCACACCGCTCTGGATCTGCCGTCTCCTTAGTGATATATTTCTGCCTCCCTCAGCCTTCTCCACCATCATCTTCTTCCACCTCACAGCAACTTGACAACTCTTCAGTTACCACCCCACAAGTTGTGATAGCAACCTACTGTACAATCAATTTTCTCCTGACAAGTGGGTCTGTATTGGTACATTTGTCACAGCCTTTTCGACTTTAGTATCAATCTTTCCAACCTCGTCAAGTACACCTGATTGTACACCTTTTACCAACCCCACAATTCATTCTATCAGCCTGGTCTGAAGACATATAAATATCAGGCAGTTCCTCCACCATTCTCAACTTTTTCCCTTTTCATTCACCACACTTCACACTCCATTGCCAACTCTTCACTACCAACTTCTTCTATCATCAACCTAGATCATCAACCTTGATCATCAACCACAACCTTCACTATCAACTTTGATCATCAACACTCGGCCTTCAAGCCTTCATCATCTTGACAAATCTTCTCTAAGATTGTCAAGTTTAGTCACTGGTTCGTCTCTCGGACAACAGTAAGTCAAAATTTCCTCCAGTCTCCCCAGTCTCCGCAGTCTCCCCAGTTACCCATCATTTTCTTCTACACAACCCAACCCGACCCCCACCATACCTACTCTCTTCACTATTTTGTACAACTTTTCTCAACTTCAATTCACACAACCCCCACCAACCTCTCGCACATCTAGCCTCTGGTAAGTGCACAACCCTCTCCACCTTTACCCTTCACCTACCTTCCTACCTTTCCCACCTCTACAACCTTTCCACTACCCTCTGCCTTCTACCCTTCCCTTCTACCTATCCCCATTACATATTTTCTCGCATCATCATCAACCTTCACCTCTGGCAAAATTATTCACCGCCTGTATCTTCCAACCACCCCACCCCACCTTCCTTTCTTACATTCATTACACACATACATAACACATACACACAATCATCATCCTCCATCACTTCGCATACACTAACCCATCTTTTCAGACAACTCAATCAGTCTTCTCTCGGAACTCGATCTACCTGTTCATTTACAAGAACAGAAACTATGTCGTAAGTTTATTTTCCCTTTCTTTTTTCTACTCTATCCTTTTCGTATTGACATTTAATTAACTTCAATACTTAGGTCTCAGGGAGATAAGAACTGCAACCAGGAGGTTCCCCGAACTCCGGACTCCGGAATCGGAATGATGGAGGGACAGGAGCCCGGCACCACGGCTAATGGTAAGTAATGTTTTGTAGTCCCTTCATGTTTATAGTTATGACATCTCTGCTAATGCATGAAATTTAGCCACCAACGACCCCCAGAACGCTATGGTGGCAATTGAGCGCCACGGTGTCACCGTCAGGTACACTCTCGGCCAGATCACTGCGATGGGTGCTTCACTAGCTCGTGCGCGTGCTGACGGTCTCTTCCCGCCTACCACCGCTGCCAGCCACGATGTCCGTGCGATCACCAGCGATTACTTTCGCTTTGTCCAGCTTACTGCTGCCCGCGGTACTGCCCCTCCCGAGGAGTGGAACCAGATGCGTCACGTGGTCCAGCTTCTCGTTGAGATCACTCAGGAAATTCGGGCTCGTGATAAGGTCGCGGCTGAGCAGACTGAGGAGGAGCGCGTCCAGGCTCATGTTACCAACATGATGAGTGGTGTTAGTGCTGAAACCAAGCTTTACAACATTGTCAAGCATGCGGTCACTTTTGCGATGAACAACGGATCTGGCGATGAAGCTGCTACTCTCACTGGCCAAAGCATGGTCAATATTCTTCACGGAATTCGAGGTGCCATCAACGACATGGCTGACCAAGGCACTCACGGCGTCAACAATGTCAATGTGGAGACTGTTCTGGAGGAAGTCTTCGGTATGATTGACTTCGCCCTTAGTAACTTTGTGGGCCCCCTCGATCAGAACGTCGAGCAGATGCGTGGCCAGCTCAACCGCGTTGACGGCCAGATCAGTCATGTGGATGGCCAGATTATGCACCTCAATGCAATTGGTCAGCATGTCAACGCCATTGACGGCCATGTTCACTCTCTTGGCAACAACATCAACGCGTTCGGCACCCTCCTGAACTCGACTAACGGCAATGTTGTCAGCCTCACTACTCAGATCGCCCTCCTCCAGACTATTGTCAACATGCTTCCTCGCATGATCGCCGAAGCATGTCAGCAGATGCTTCCTGGAGCTACTCAAGAGGCCATGGGTCCTATCATTGCCATCATTGAGGGCCATCTGGGCACCGCCTTGCCTATTGGTACTGCCAATGGCACTCAGCAGCAGCCTAGAGGAGTGAAGAAGTTCTTCAACTCCGTCAAGAAGCTGTTCCGAAAGAAGTAAGGAGCTTACTAGCCTTACCCAGCGAGATTGTCATCAGGGATGCTTTAGTCACAAGTCTTCGTGGTTGCCTTAATACTCTACTTCTTCACTTTCTATCCGGTCGACAACAAGTAAGTTCTCCTCACCATTTCTAATGTCCTTCAACACTGATTACTAACTTGCCACAGATGCTTTGGTGAGGGTCGGCCGCTGGTCTGCATATGACAGGCTTGTAGCGGAATTAGGACCAAAACAAAATAAGGAGCTGGAGTGGGATGCATGGATCTATCAGACAGACTGGTGGATATGAACTTTGGGGCCAAGGAAGGAATTTGGAGTAACTATGACTCCTGGTATATATCATGATGCTGCATTTCAGCAGTATACAGATACACTTCTTCTCCCAATAAACACCTACTCCGCTCTATCCTTGTATGAATTGAGCCTCTAGTGAAGTGACTTCATACCTATGTCGTGGGTCTTTTGACACCATTCCCACATCCTAGCTCTGAGTTAATAGTAGTACACCCTGATGATAATACATTCACTTTAAGTGCATATTATGTATCGCGACCCATACCTCATGTATTGCATAGGGAGACTTGAAATGTTTATGATTCGTGTTTGTTGTTTCAATCCTAGATTATAATAAAATTGTACCCCTATACATCACAGACTCTATCATAGCACAATGTGAGGCTGAATGTCGGTGTATAACAATTCCTGATGTTGCTAGGGGAACCATCCGCTCCTAGCCACAGCTGGGTGAGATTGTCAATGAGGTAGTAAGGCACCTGAAACACATCATGAAGCGCACCTGGATGAGATACTAAATATTTTAAACCAAAGCAATGCTTTTGACTAAGTTTTTAGTTCCTATAGAGATGTTTTTCATTCATTCTACCCTTCGTTACGTGCCTTGGGTATCAATCCCAGCGCTCCTAGAATAGCTAAGAAGGGGGCGAGACGTCTTTACCTACCTCTGGGAGCGTCGCTGTTGCAAACTAGGGTCTCTTGCAATCATCAAATATTTTATTTATTTTTGCGCAGGTAACGACATAGTCTACATGGTGTCATAGATAGTCGCGCTGACATCTACTAGTTCACAAAAGCATACAGGCTATTTAGTTGAATATATGAATGACGCGTACGGGTTCCCTGCCTTCCTCCGGAACATGTAGAGGGAATACATAGCTATGGTGAAACACGTACTTCTCTCATGAAACACACGATACTAATGAGGTATATAGAGGATGTCCAAGGTTTCCTCCATAAAGCAGCGTGGTCGTCTCTAAGCATAGCTAGCTTCCAGTGTGTCCGATTTTACCCCTCTAATGGTACACGTTACCCGATAGCTAGCACACGCCGCTCGCTATGCTTGAAGATAGCATTGCTTCCCAATAAGATTACTTAAGAGACAAATACGGGATTGATTGAACATATAGAAGGACAAAGACAAGCTCCAGCGTCTAGGAAGCGAAAACAGCATATTGCACAGACTCTTTTACAACCCGGACTTTGATCCTTCTAGATATACGAGAAGCGATCCAGAGTCTGGCAGGAAGACTGGAGTCTAGTTCCAGTATTTGAAAAGGCCAACACTCCATTCATGTCCCATAGTTGGTGCATATATTTTCGGTCCAATTACCCAGTGTAGAATATAGTAAGTCACACTGAGGAGTGCCGAAATATTTGGAGGTTTTTATGCTAACGAGTCCTTGTAGAGACGGCACAAGATCTTGCGCATGGACAAAGCCTTCGCCGATTCTACTACTCATAATACCAATCCCGTTTCTTCTAAGATCCCTTCCACTCCTACAGCTTTTATGTACGCCCCCTTTACTCCTAGAAGACCCGACACTTAAGATCTATCGACCTTATAAAATCCTAGAAGAAATGCCCATTCGGTAAAAAGGCAGCCTATCAACTCGAGTTTCCCCCAATATAAACACAGAAAAGACATATATTACACGCAGAGCTTGGAAGCCGAGACGCAACTCAAGTATGCAACATAATATACAGTACAAGTTCCTTGTTGATTTCCAGAAATACAGCTTGAGAAATTGCAAATATATACGCAAATATGGTCCTAGGCCCCGCCAAGAGTATTATTACTCCAAGCAACTCAGTAGACTGCCCAACTTCTGCAACACAATAGCCTGCTTGTCAGCTGGTGCCGTCGTCTTATCCGTCGAGTCTCCCACGCTGACGGAAATCTGACAGCCACCAGCACCGACCACGCTTGACTCCGTCGGTAATCTGTCGGTACCGCAGGTCTCGACATCGCGCTCGGAGAATACGCCGGGGTTGATACGGCTCAGCACCCACTTGAACTTGGCCGGGTCGGTGCAGTCTCCTTCGGCCTTGGGGAAGTTCACGTTCAGGAACACGTCGTCGGGGAGGTACGGCGTACCAGCGGCGATGACCGCATTCGTGAACTGCGTTGCCAGCTTCGCATACACGATGCTTCGCGTTTCCACAGGCGCGTCGAACGCAAGTCTGCCGGACGAATCGCCGGAGAAGGCGATGGCCGGGATGCCGACGTCGCGAGTCGCGTAGGTGGCTATGCCGACAGTCCCGGAGAAGGGAACTTCGAGGAACAAGTTGCTTCCCACGTTCGGCCCAGAGACCACGAGCTCCGGGGCTTGTCCGTTCCACAGCTGAGGAGCAAACGTTTCGACTCCAAAGCGAGCAGAAGTTACCGGGAACGAATTTACCCAGTTTAATCTTGGGTTCGTCGCATTGTTACCCACGGCGCCGCTGCCCGCAGGGCAGCTATTATATTCACAGGCCTGAGTACGCGGGGATGGTTCCGAGTCAGAAGATCCTAGTTCGTCAATTTAGCAATGCCCTAACCAGATAAAGTTCTTAGACCGGAGCTTACCTGTACCAGACTTGTTTTCGGCTGGTGCTGACAGGATGACATCGTGGCCAGCGTTGTTGAGCTCGTCATGAAGGACCCGAATATATTGCTCTGCCCAACCGTCGTCGTTTGACTGGAGGATACGTATGCCGTGGGCGCCTACGGCGAGCAATACGGATGACAAGAGTTGGACACGCATTTTGTTATGAGGTTTTAATTTAGTGAGCGACTGAAGATTCCCATCTGGTTAATAACATGGGGCCATGGGCTCATTTAAATATCTTGCTTGTTGCATTGACACGAGCTGCATTAAGAAAGTCATCCCGTTCGCTATCGACCCCTGATATCCCCGGGACTTTCATTCAATCACAACAGCCAATCACAAACCTTGACAAGATGCTATACCGAGCAATGAAACTCTAAAACTGGGACCGAACAGAATGCCCAGCCTCTAGTCCCCGCCGTCCCTGGGATATCAGCCACAATTCACAGCCAATCTTGTGGGGCACGTGGGATCTGCAACGCGCCTTAGATCTCCAGCGAGGGAGAGGCCGCCGTGCAAAAGCCACCAGTCCCATCCCTAGCAAGGAAGGTCCAAAAAATGCCAAGGTGTTCTTGTCGCCCTCGGCGAAACCCGTATTCACTAGACTTTTGAAACTCGTCTATTTAGAGAGAATAGGAGCTTTGCATGTCATTCAAATAGTGTTGCTACAAGTAACACTATGCAAAACTATTGTCTGGAAAATCTATCAATAATAGGTTCGGCAATAAGATCCCGGCAGTGGCGTTGACTCTAAGGTACATACTCGCAAATCGCGAACCGCGAACTCCACGCTAGGTGTGTCACCTTCTATATGCGGTAAGTGACACGGGAGCGGCATCTCGGACACCCGGGAGGAAAGAGTGGGTGTTCTCGGAGACAAGTGGAGACGGCAATTCGGTTTGTGCCGCCACGGAACGTGCTTGGACTTTTCCTTTGTCATTGTTATCTCCATCGCTTTTACTACAAGTTATTCACACACGTACCCAGAAGGTGGATGTTGCTGTCCACTAGTCTTTTCATATTATAGCCGTAGGGTCGTGGAATTATGGATCTAATAGATGTGTCACAAGATGGAACTAGATAATAGGGAAACAACTTTGCTATTCCGCAAGGAACTCTAATCTATCTACGATATTCTGAGTCTATACATACTGAACGTGTCCTCTGTTCTAGATGTCTCACCTAGAATCCTGATAGCAATGTTGTCAGCACTATCTCAGTCCGAATTATCATAATCATTCTGTCGGCCATCATTTACCTACTTATACTGTCCTGCTTGACGAGGTCGAGGACGATGGAGTTAATCCTAGCAGGAGCGACGTAAGTACCTATTTCACTCCAACATTAGTAACAGTAGATTAGCTAACCTATTATAGATATGCAACTGTTCTCATTATGTTTGTCTCTGGTGCCGCCACAATGTAAGCTAGGCATTCAAGCAGCTCGAAACTTTCATATAAATAATAATAGGAATATGTGGCTTCCCCATGCACGTACATAATTTGAGTTTTGTTTTGGATGGGCTCTAAGCATAATAAAAAGCTTCTCGGGCCGTCAGTGTTAGGACATATAATGACGTACTTAAGACGGGTCTGAGTTCAAGCTGATCTAAATAAATCACAATCACCTTAGCCCAGCCAGAACGTAGTAAATTGTCCCAAAAGTAGATATCTGTTACACGCGCTCCAAAGCAATCTCAATTCTTAGAATCAACTCAAGTAAGGCCTTATCTTAAATTGTATAACAGGTAGCTACCCATATAAAGCCTAATCATTTTTACCCACTACCATCTTCAGACACACGGGCTCCTCAATCGTTCCTTAACTACCACAATAGAAATCATCAGCTGTAGCGTTTGAGCTCGTACCCTTATAGTGTGCCTTCTGAGGATAAGGACATAAAATACTCTCGCGAACAGGACCCTTATCCACAGAAGTCGCTGCAATGACACTGTCAGGGGCAACACCGGATTCAACCCATGAGACGAGGGACTTGAAAATACCAGAAGGATAGTATCCAACGCCTGCAAAACAGTGAGCAAGTCCTGGCGCTTCAAAAAGGCGATAATAATCGTGTATTTTCTCGTCGTTGGCTGCGACACTTTTATAGAAGCTCGACGAAGAGTCCGGAGGAAGGATAGCATCGGCTAGACCGTGGAAAGACAATAGCTTCCCTCCTGCTTCTCGGAAGGCGTCCAAGTTAGGCTTCACGTTGACGATTGGGCCGTATTCATCCAGCGATTGCTGAAATAAATCTTGGATTTCTTCGATTGTTACTGTCGTGACGTCGAAGGTAGGATCTTTCTTAATAAGAAGTCGTATCCATTCTTCAACAATCTCCATTGTGTGTCCTGTGCAGGTACCGTTCCCTGAGCACACAGTTGTCGCAAGTCCTGGATAGACTCCAAGGCTAGTTACTTCGTCTACTAGACTTGACCCCTTTTTGAGTCCCCACCAAAGGAATGAGCCATCCAGTTTTCGGGCGCCAGTCCATGTCGCAATCGCAACGTTGATAGCAGCTTCCGATATCTTCACAGTTCCAATGTCGGTATCCTGGCAATCAATAGATTTGTTCAACACAGAATGTGGATCAAAGTCGCAGGAATCCGGATCAGTGACGATTCCATCAAGTAGTCCATCATTGCCATCACAGTGCTTGATAAATGCATCTGTGATCGCAACAAGCTCACAGTTCTTCGGGTACTGACCCATAGCCTTTATGACAACCTGGGGCCAATGATCACCCACTCCCAACCCAGCGAGGTCAACTGCTGGGGCAGAGGCAGCTATTCCATCAAATGCGGTAGGGTATTTCTCGGCAATTTTAAAACCTTGTCGTCCGCCCTGCGAGCATCCGTTCCAATAGGAATATGCTGGTGGCTTGCCGTAGTAGCTCTCCGTAATTGCCTTTCCGATAATAGACAATTCATTGAGTGAGTTGGAGCCAAACTCTTCGAGGAGGTAAAGGTCAACGTGTCCGGGACTCTTCAATATCCAGTCATCTGGGTTTAACGAAGCATGGCCGGCGTCAGTGGTCACAGCAGAGTATCCCTCCGACATGGCGCCGAGCATAGAGTAATAACTAAGTAGATAATTAATGCCTCCGGCGGAATAACCTCCTCCGCCAATACCTTGCATCCTGCCGTTCCACTCTGTGGGGAGATATACGTTAATAGTGACAATATCAGATTTTCCAGTATGCGTATAGGTAGTCGTGAGGTTGCAGAAGTTGACACCTTCGGCATAGACAGCTCCATTGTTCGTGTATGTGCTCTCTGGAACTTGGATTGTGAAGTTGGACACCAGGGAAGCGCTGAGTGAAGTGAATTGTACGCCGGGCAAATCCGGATACGGGATCTGAGCGGGACTACACATGGTGGAGGAGGATTTGATATTATTGTCGTGACTGTGACTATCTATAAGACTTCTAGACTTCGAGGCAATGGAGGTCTTTTATATACTGGACAATCTATGGGCTATTGATTTATGACTCCTTATTACATAATAACTTTCTCTTATTTTCGCGGTTCTAGCTTATAATCCTTCAAGAGTTAGGGGATTTACATATTTTCTCTACCTATTGTGCATGTCGCTGCCTTGACAGCTAAATGAGAGGGTTTTCATTGGCTGTTTTCGCGTGGTATTGTATACTCTTTATTATGACTCTTCATTATGAAGTGATTGAGAGCTAGCTTCAGAGGTATATTCCTATACAAATTTGTATGTAATAATACTTGAAAAGTCCTTAGTCAATCACGGTTCTAATAGGTTTCTAAGGCTTACTATATATGCACCTTAGCCTTGTTAATCCTTTAGGATTGCGTTCTATAGCTCATCCCGCTAATAATTGCAAGGGGTTGATATTACTGACCCACCCCGGGAATCTTTTGCCCGGAGGCTGTCGGAGTTGCGAAAGGTTATTTGTGCGGGACCCCTTCCCTCAAATATTCTCTTATTGGAATCAAGGAGACATCTATTAGGAGCCCCGCCCCGAAAGCACTCTGAGACATCACGGAGAAATAGGGTTACACGTATGCACATTCACGGTCCTGGGCATGTAAGCTTCATGGCTCTTTGCCTCGGATAGTCCGAGTCTTGACAATTTTAATTACATTTAGATATGAATACGTCTCCGCTTGGAAAACACGCATTTTATTGATGAGACTATTGGTTAACCAATTATGAGATACCTAAAGCAGCCTACAAAGTATCACGACGTGAAAGATTTCATACGAGAACGAGACATCGCCAATAGGGCTCTTTTGCGCAAGCTAACGCCTCGCGCTTTCAATGATAACTGCTTAGAATAATATGGATAGGTGCATGGAAGTCCAAACATTCGTAGGTAGTCTATAAATAGATCAGCTACCCTAATTATTATGCATGCGAAGAAGTCCTAGTATGGCGCAGCAGGTACGTAACCGGTGTCAGCTCGTAAATATGAGAATTTCTTATCCATAACAGCAACGGCTTTCATACCCATCACATCAAGACTCCCGGGACTCACGATAGGAAGTTCTGATTCGGAATGCAAGGAGTACAAGCGGCCGTCCCCGGTCTTCCGATCCGCAGATCCGCTTGTGATCGGTGTAAAGGACATAAACTAAGATGCCTGCGCGATCCGGGACAACAGCGCTGCTACCGATGTACGCGAGCAGATGCCCAATGCGCTACAACCCCTAACGTGGCTATACGCTCCCGTCGTCGGATCGGAGGGGTTAGTTCCACAGCACAAAAGCGACCACGACAGGATGACCGACCACAGAATATTCCGGCTACTAATCAGACAATTAACACGCCACTGCCCATATTCTTTGAGGGCTCTAGTAACGTGCAAGATACAGCGACATATCCTCCTGAGATTATGGAGTCTTGGGACCCTACTATCTATGGATCCCTGTTGGGCGATGGCTTCAACGGAAGTTTTGCATCTTTAGATTTTACCGCCAATAAGGCTCATCTGCCCACCTTGGAGTATCAACCAGAGATGATGCCTCTATCTACTTTCCAGACAGAAGTTTCACTGGCTGGGACGTTATCTTTGCAGAGCCAAGAGACTAGCATAGGCAACAATACGTCGGCTTCTCTGGAAGGCATCGTCACTACTCAGGATTCGGTTGTCGAAGTTGGCCGTGGAATCTCCGAGAGCGATACACAACGGCTTGCTAAAATAAACCACCACTTGGTTAAACTCCTAGACCAGATTGGGCGAGGGTCTCCCGAAATAAGTCTCGATACACTCGTTGCGCCGATCGATCAACTGGACGATTTTTCCGGGAGCCAAATCCATAGTGTACTGGAAAGTAGTCGCGAGTTCGTAGATATCATATGTACGCTATCAGACGCAAATCGGACACTGGCGGCAATAACGTCGCACGGCTCTTCTCCGAGGATGCCGGAATCCGGACCTGGTAGCAACATAAGCGGGCCAACTAGGGGTCACAATTCTCCACACTCCTCCGAATATGGCCGGACACTGGCAACCCCATCACTCCTGTCTACAACAGGAAATAGGCCTAAACGCTGTCTCGATTCAGCAACACTCATGCATATTCTCATATCCTATATCCACATCACACAGCTCTACCTCATAATCTTTACGCATTGCTACGAGGCCCTCCTTAAGATATCTAAAAGCGATGTCCCTTCATTTTGCGAGCTACCCGGGATGGACTTTGGTAGTTTCCCGCTTCGTATGTGGTTTCTTTCTAATACCCATGTATCAAGTACCCAATCCTGTATATGGTGACAGTACTAACTTTCCTGCAGAATCCGGAAACCTGCAAGCCACCATGTTTATTCAGGTTGTCATTAACCTGTTTGAGAAGATGGAAAATCTGCTCGGAATACCGCAAGAATTTCGACTTAACAGACACGGGACTAACCACGGTGGCCTGTTGAGCGAACCGGAATTCTTCAGGATTTTGAAAGCGGTATTGTATAAGGAGGAACTTGTATATAAGCCAGATCTTGGGAAAGGGGGTGTTAATGCGTTGCGAAAATACATTGAGCAGACAAGACAGTTACTACGGGATAGTATAGAGCCGTAGATACCCACTAGTTATTTATGATATTGGATCTGATCTTCCACTTCGCAGGATTATCTATTCGAGTATAGAATCTTAGAGACATGTAATTATGTTAAGCTAAGCGGTTAAACCCTCTTCTTTCTCAATCTCGTCTTTACTGGGAGACCATTTGTCCTGGAGATCTTTGTCAAGAGTAAGTCTATAGACATCCTTGGGCCACCATTCGCCCCAGCTCGTCAAGAAGATCTGGTCGGGGTCTTCCGGGAAATCGTCCCTTATGAATGCCCGGTAGATACTTTGGGCACCTGCTAGTAGTGTAAGTTACGCATGACCCCTAAATTCTGAGAGTTGTGGATAAAACATACCTTCTGGAACACTCTTTGCGTCTGGATGGTTTATAGGAAATTTGAGCTGATCGTTGCCTCTTATGATGCCGGTGCCGGGGACCAAGCCGGGCGACACAGCAACGACGTGGCATTTGCCCTGAAGTTGACGACGCCACCAATGGGCTCCGAGTAGCTGAACAAACTTTGTAGCATCATATACAGTGCGTTCTGTCTTCGAACCACCCCTGAGATCATCTTCAAGGAATTCTACGCGTGATTGTGAGATTAGTATCCCGGATTAAGAGTGTAGCGAGCTTAACATACTAGGGTCCTTTACAAGGCAAGCGGCGCCGGAGGAGACAACTACAATGCGCGACTTCGATGTTTCTAACTTCTCTCGAAGTAGATGAACGAGGTAGTGTTGAGCTAGAGTCCTCATTAGCACGAATTGTTGACTTGCAAAAAGTACGAAAAGAAAAACCATAAATTCTTACACAGGTGATTCACAATATAGGGCTCACTCCATTTAGAACCATGCGGACCGGGTTGCTCAGAATTATTGCCAATTGCTGCATTGAGCACCAAGTAGTCAATCTTGTCTTGTCCAACGTTCTCTAAGGCTTGCTGTGAGAAGGTCTTGACGGTTTTGAGGTTCGACAGCTCTAACGGGAAGATAGTTAAGCTGTGCTTGTTGTTGTCATACTTGAGTCTATCGAAGGTGGCTTGGGCTGTTTTCGTGTCCCTGGCTCCGAGAATGAATTTGTACGGCTGAGTTTGTGCAAGAAGTTGCTTGACTAACTCGAACCCCTGTATAGCATAAGAGGTTAGAATGAATTTGTAGATGTGATGAATTACCGTTTACCAAGCCTGAAGTGGCACCCGTAGCCACGATTGTCTTTGTGATAGTTGCCATGATGAGGAGTTTGAGTTGGAGGGGAGGATGAGGGATTGAAGAAACTTTGTTAATCAACTTACTCGTTGACCCTTTTTATACTCACCTAGGCACCTAGGTTACGAACAGTAATAGCTCCTAACGCCGCAATAGTCTGTCTCAGTCATATTTTCAATTACACACTCCTTTCGAAGGAAGCTGGTGCTTACAAATATGGTTATGTTCTGAACTGCGTCTATGGTACAGATATACATGTACATACCTGTTTTGCAAGCCAGGCCGTGCTGAATCTAGGTACCTTGTAGGTACACCTTTACTTACATAGTTTCCCCTCACTTAATACATAACCCCTGCTTCAATAAATTGTTGTAGCTGTAATTGATTTATAATAGCCTCTACAACCTGTAAAAGATGAGGGTCAGTAAAGTCAATTCTTTTTGAAAAGTAAATTTTGTAATACCAATCTAGAATTGCAACAAATCATGTTCTATGAATTTCCATGAAGTCGCTGGTCGAACGGGCTTGTGGTACAGCTATACCTATTCGGGTTAGCGCGGAACAGCTTCGGCTTCTGGCCGGTTCCTCCATCATTGGATTGGATTAAATTTTTTGAAGCTTTTCTTCCCCGGAGTCTCAAAACTCAATCCTTCAACGCCTACATTTCAATAACGCTGGCGAGAATTTCTTCTCCTTCCCCCCTCTTACGCCGTGATCTTTGTGGTGGCATTTTATTATTGCCTTTCCCCTACTTAATTTGTGTATCCCACAGTCACAATGCAGCGTGCTCTATCGTCCCGAGCGCGGGCTTCGGTCCTATCTTCGGCTGCCACTAAGTATCGAGCTGGTGCAGGACTTTCACAGCAGCTTCGATTCGCACACAAGGTTGGTAGCACTCTTCCACAAGTCTCAAAAGCAAACGGACTTGGTTCTACTATATAATTATTGTGCGTATTACTAACATATATTGTCTAGGAGCTCAAGTTTGGTGTAGATGGCCGAGCTGCCCTTCTTGCCGGTGTCGAAACCCTCGCCAAAGCTGTTGCCACCACACTTGGCCCTAAGGGTCGAAATGTTATAATCGAGTCAAGCTATGGTTCTCCCAAGATCACAAAGGGTATGTATTGAACTTGTTTTTTCTCTCAATTCGGCCGGGTTACTGACTAAAGACTATAGACGGTGTTACTGTCGCAAGAGCTATCAGCTTACAAGACAAGTTCGAGAACCTCGGCGCTAAGCTATTACAAGATGTCGCATCCAAGACAAACGAATCTGCCGGTGACGGAACTACAAGCGCTACTGTTCTAGCTCGCGCTATCTTCTCGGAAACTGTTAAGAATGTCGCTGCTGGCTGCAACCCCATGGATCTGCGGCGGGGTACCCAAGCCGCTGTCGACGCTGTTGTTGAATACCTCCAGAAGAACAAGAGGGATATTACAACTAGCTCAGAAGTCGCTCAAGTCGCCACTATTAGCGCCAACGGAGATACCCACATTGGCAAGCTGATTGCCAATGCAATGGAGAAGGTTGGCAAGGAGGGTGTTATCACCGTCAAGGAGGGAAAGACGATGAGCGACGAGTTGGAAGTTACCGAGGGTATGCGATTCGACCGTGGTTACGTTTCGCCCTACTTCATCACAGATGCCAAGGCACAGAAGGTCGAGTTCGAGAAGCCTCTCATCCTCCTTTCTGAGAAGAAGATCTCTGCCGTACAAGATATCATCCCTGCTCTTGAGGCCTCTACCCAGTTGCGACGGCCTCTTGTCATCATTGCCGAGGACATCGATGGCGAAGCCCTAGCTGTCTGCATCTTGAACAAACTCCGTGGTCAGCTCCAGGTTGCTGCTGTCAAGGCCCCCGGCTTCGGCGACAACCGAAAGTCGATTCTCGGCGATATCGCTGTCCTCACCAACGGTACCGTTTTCACCGATGAGCTCGATATCAAGCTGGAGAAGGCTACCCCTGACATGCTTGGTTCCACCGGTTCCATCACCATCACTAAGGAGGATACTATAATCCTCAACGGAGAGGGCAGCAAGGACTCGATTGCTCAGCGATGTGAGCAGATCCGTGGTGTCATGAGCGACCCCACTACCTCCGAGTACGAGAAGGAGAAGCTTCAGGAGCGACTTGCTAAGCTCTCGGGTGGTGTTGCCGTCATCAAGGTCGGTGGTTCCTCCGAGGTCGAGGTCGGCGAGAAGAAGGACCGCTTCGTCGATGCCCTTAACGCCACCCGAGCTGCTGTTGAGGAGGGTATTCTGCCCGGTGGTGGTACTGCTCTCCTCAAGGCTGCCAGCAATGCCTTGAAGGATATTAAGACTGCAAACTTCGATCAGCAACTTGGTGTTAGCATCGTCAAGAACGCGATTACCCGACCAGCCAGGACGATCGTGGAGAACGCCGGTCTGGAGGGCTCCGTGGTCGTTGGTAAGCTAATGGATGAGTTCGGTAGCGACTTCAACAAGGGCTTCGACAGCGCCAAGGGAGAATACGTAGATATGATCCAGGCAGGTATCCTTGACCCGCTCAAGGTTGTCCGAACTGGTCTAGTTGATGCTAGCGGCGTCGCGTCGTTACTAGGCACCACCGAGGTTGCCATTGTCGAGGCACCCGAGGAGAAGTCTGGCCCCGGTGGTATGGGCGGCATGGGCGGCATGGGAGGAATGGGTGGCATGGGAGGAATGATGTAATGAGTTCATGTTATGAATGAACCTTTATCCTGTCATGTATCAAAAGTTTGGGTTGGGAGCATTGACCTCGGCGTTATGCGGTCGGGTTAATGTTGGCTCTTGTCATGTCTTCCTCTATGTATCTCCCCTCTACCTCTAACACCTCTCCCCCCTGTGCATTATTCATATCTTGATATCCCGAGCGGCGTTATGAAGAGTTGTATATTAGAATTACGAACTACGAAACGCCAACCTACCTACATCTAGTGTAGGTGATCATAATTGATCTGATGATAAATATTTGCTCCCCCCTTTTTTGTTTCCTTAGGCACCAAGATTTGTAATGATCTCAAGTTTTGCCTGGAAATTGAGATGACATATATGGTGATACGCGATGACGAATCCCGAGTGGCTTGTCCCTATTAGAGGCAGCAGGACAAGTGACAATAGGTAAGGTGGTAAGGTACATATTGTATGTAGTAGCAACCCCTGAAATAGGTAGCCCGATTCAACGAAATTAAAGGAGTCACGTGTAGTTTATTATAAAATTTGGTTACAGCACAAGTCTACGGTCGGCCCAGTTACCGCCAAGAACAAGTGTAATTTTTTTGAAGTGCACTAAAGTGTTATGTAGCTGTACGTAGCCTATGGTAAGCAAGTGTCTAGGCCATTATGTATTTATCTCATTACCAACTGCCCACTCTCCCTCCACTGAAAACCCCTGTTCCACTGCCCCCCTAATCCCTCCCAAACAACATTTGACCCCACCAAGGCTTTGTGTTGATTTCTCTGCTCATCGTGCGTGCCTCTTTTCATCAGCCCGACCTTCCCCTCCATTGCGATAGGGCCCACACTAAAAACACTACTTACATCTCTCCCGACTCTTTCTTTCTATTGTTGTCCTCCTAAACATCCATCGCATCTACTTGCAAAACCTGAACCACGAGACCCTCCTAGGTGGATAGCCACATTCAGCGATTCATGTTAGTTGCAGATTTGATCTTACATCACTCACTCTAAATTCACTTGCACCTCCTGGTCCTTTGTAGGCACCTTTCTCGAACCCCGCTAACAGCCCACATCGTAGCTTGTCTTCGGAATCTCATTTGGTACCGGTGTAGCTCAAGCATATCGCCAAAATGGTGAGTCTTGAATCCAATCAACCCTTGGAAGCCTGCTAATATTAATTTTCGGTAGTCTCAATCAGGGTTCGTGACTCCTTTCAGTTAACCGTCGTCCTATTCTTGTCTCTGTCGGCAACCCCCCCTATCCGCGCGTCATTATGCGCTTTCACGGTGCACCGCTCTTTCCGGCGCGTCTGAAGAATAGGAGAGAATAGGAGCTAACATCAGTGGCCATCTAGAGCAACAGTCTCGCAGGAGTGCATTACTGCCTACAACGACCTTAAGCTTGCGAAGAAGCACAAGTACGTCATCTTCAAGCTGTCAGACAACAACCGAGAGATCATCGTCGAGGAGGCTTCTGAGGATAAGGACTGGGAGACCTTCCGTGAGAAGCTCCTCAACGCTACCACTAAGACCAAGAGTGTAAGTATCATTTTTCTGCTAGTAGCACTACGTTTCCAGGCTTTATTCTAATAATTTGTGTCTAGGGCGCTGTAAGCAAGGGACCCCGATACGCTGTCTACGACTTCGAGTACAACCTTGCTAGTGGAGAAGGCTCGCGGTGAGTAGCCTCGCCCAATATAATAAACTTATTATACTAATAACCTATAGAAACAAGATCACCTTTATCGCATGGTCGCCCGATGATGCCAACGTTATGGTCAGTTTACACAATAGCTTTTTAACTCGCATGCGGTAATATAATGCTAACCCCCTTAAAGGCCAAGATGGTGTACGCCTCGTCGAAGGAAGCCCTGAAGCGCTCTCTCACCGGCATTGCCATCGAACTACAGGCCAACGACCAGGACGACATCGAATTCGACACAGTACTAAAGGTGGTCAGCAAGGGTCTGGCCGGCTAAGCGCCTCCAACCCCCGAGGCCCGAGAGCAGCTTGGGGCAAAGCTGCTAAGGATCATTACTTGAGGAGGGGCACTCGCGTGCCAAGGATCCACGACGTCTACGAAACTGCAGGATGGACATAAACTCTCTCCCTGCCATTACGATGGAGTAGGGCCGCTTTGGTCGCTGTTTATTTTTCCTTAGAGGGCAGACATGAATTGTCAAGCTTGTGATGTTAGCCATCGGTATACACCGCACAACACAAAAGGTCATATTTGAATGTAGATTGTTCCTATTGTGCTCTTTGGTCAGATGTCTACGCCATTATTAATTATCATTTTCACAGCTTCTCAATACCCTTGTGCTCTGGTTTGGCCTGCTGAACTTATTGATTATACCGGATGGCTGGCTCTCTACTTATATATTCTAAATATTATGCCTTCGCCTTCCACGCGCTTTGGAAAGTGTTCATTAGTTCCTCGGCCGTCTTTTCGTCTCGTATTCGTTGTAACAGGAATCCCTTCAGATCGTCCCAAAATTCCTTGGTATCTAATACATCATTGCCGCTCTGACCCTGCGCCACTTCGGACTGCGCTGGGTTTGCTGTCTTGATAGCTGCAGCCCCTCCCATAACCATGACAGAGAACTCGATGCTTGTCTCACTCTCCCCCGCAAGGTCTTTCAGCACTTTACTATCCGCGATCGGCTTCTTTTTGTGTAGTAGCTTCATCTTCTCGATAGGTATTCCCGTATCCTGTGATACGGCGGTCTTGATATCTAAGACGGAGGTGTTGAGCGTCTGCGATGAGAGCTTGATGTCTAACGGCGGGTTACGGAGGGACTTCACGACGACGGTGAGGCTGCGCTCTTGACCTGGCGCCACGGTGCTGGCCTTGCGCTTGCTCATAGTCTTCGGCATCTTGGGGAGTATATACTACATTTTTCGTTAGCTAGGAAGAGCAAGACAGTCGCGGGGTGTAGCATACAGCGCCGCGCGCGGCGTAGCTCTTAGGATCCTCGACATGCTCGGATGATAGCTTGATCGGACGAGCGTCTAGTGCTGCAAGGAAAGATCTCGCGAATGCTACTTCCGTCATCTTCGTATTTTGAGTGTTACACGAGGTGTCGAGTATGAGAAGTTATGTCAAACAATTCAGGCCGCCTTGAACTCTAGTGACGATCAAGATGTCCCGCCTTTAGGGCGCCACGAAAGTATCCCACTTTGTGGCTGAAGCTTAATTGTACCTGCGTATCTGTGTACTGAGGTACCGAGGTTCAGACCCACTGCACTAATTTAGGTTATCCAATCCTGTATCTTGATAAAAGTGGTTCAAAATCGTTATCGTCTTATCGCAAGAAAAAAAGTTCGAGGCCAAACTGCGCCAGACATTGGAAATTTTAGAGCGCCCAGGTGAAAAGATACAACGATACATTTAACAAATTTCATATAACACCTCCAGCAAAATGGGTGTCGGTCGTCGAATGAAGAAGCAGGGCCCTCCTGAGCCACTGTCAGAAGAACACTTTGCGAAACTAAAGCGAAAAGCTGGTCTACCTGTAGACGACGTTCCCACCGACGCACCGAACAAGAAGAAGCGGAAAACCGCAACTGAATCAGCTCTGAAGTCCAATGGCGCTGGTGCAAAGAAGGCTGCTCCTAAAGCTAATGGAAAGTCCAATGGTGTGAAAGCCGCTCCGGCGCCCAAGCAAAATGGAAAGAACAACAGGTCGAAAGCAAAGAAGCCAACTCCCGTGCTAGAGTCCGATGAAGAGCTTAGCGATGGCCTTGGTGATGGGTTGAGCGGCTCAGAGCCGGACGGCGACGAATTCTCCGGTTTAGAAGATGACGAGATGGGCGGTCTAGGAGATGACTTCATAGGCTCAGACGACTCCGTATTCGACTCTGATGCAGAGGACCAGAAGGGGCGAAAGGCCATGTTCTCAGAGGATGAAGATGATTCGGACGCCGAAGAGAAATTGACGGCGGCCAACATTGTCGGTCTATCAAATAAGCTAGACAGGCAAAGAGCGCAAGAGGAGGCGGAGGCACAAGCAGAATTGGAAGAAGCGGCACTCCAGACTAACATTGAGCGACCGCATGTCATCGACGATGAAGAGGAGGATGATCTAGCACTAAAGACGAAGGCTCTCTTGGCCCCGGATCTGCAATTGCTAAGGACAAGAATCACGGATACGATACGTGTCTTAGACGACTTTGCGAATGCATCAGAGGAGGGCAGGTCCAGAGCCGAATACACAACACAATTGCTGAAGGACATATGCGCCTACTACGGTTACTCAGAATACCTTGCCGAGAAGCTTATGAACCTATTCCCACCAAGAGAAGCTTTCGCGTTCTTCGAGGCTAACGAGACGGCGCGACCTGTCGTCATCCGAACTAACACTCTACGAACGCATCGCCGAGATTTAGCTCAGGCCCTGATAAATCGCGGCGTCACTCTAGAGCCTGTAGGCAAGTGGTCTAAGGTTGGGTTACAAATCTTTGAGAGCAATGTTCCGCTTGGTGCTACGCCAGAATATCTTGCTGGCCACTACATTCTCCAAGCCGCGTCCTCATTTTTACCCGTCATGGCTTTAGGTCCACAAGAAGGTGAGCGAGTGCTGGATATGGCCTCTGCTCCTGGTGGTAAAACCACGCATATGGCTGCTATGATGAAGAACACCGGTTGTATATTTGCCAACGATCCGAGCAAATCTCGTTCAAAGGGTCTAATTGGTAACATTCATCGTCTCGGTTGTCGCAACGTGATTGTCTGCAACCATGATGCCCGAGAGTTTCCGAGGGTGATTGGTGGCTTCGACAGAGTGCTTCTTGATGCTCCTTGTTCAGGTACAGGAGTTATCGCCAAGGATGCCTCGGTCAAGACGAACAAGGACGAGAAGGATTTCATGGTCTTACCCCACACCCAGAAGCAGCTATTGCTAGCTGCAATTGACTCGGTCAACCACTCAAGCAAGACTGGTGGCTATCTAGTCTACTCTACATGTTCAGTCACTGTCGAGGAGAATGAGCAAGTAGTCCAATATGCGCTCAACAAACGACCTAATGTCAAGTTGGTCTCCACCGACCTCCCCTTTGGCAAAGAAGGTTTCACCAGCTACATGGGCAAGAACTTTGACCCTAGTCTACGCCTAACGCGGAGATACTACCCGCACACATACAACGTAGACGGGTTCTTCGTCGCCAAATTTCAGAAGGTCGGCCCGACACCCGCCAACCTCATCAAAGACAAGTCTGCTCAAGGCGCCTCAGCACCGCGCGCAGAGGAAGAGGTTATTGACAAGACGCCCATCACAGATGACAGTGTGTCTGGACAGGATGATGAGTTTGGCGGTTTTGATGACGAGGAAGATGAGAAGTATATGGAGAGGGCGAAGCGCAACGCGATGAGGAAACGTGGTCTTGATCCTAAGGCGTTGAACAAGCCAAGCGCGAACGGCAATGCGGAAGAGAAGAGCGAGGCCAAGATCGAGGAGAATAATAAGACTAAGGGTGATGGGAAGAGCGAAAAGAATAAGGAGAAAAGTAAGAGTAAGACTGCGGCCAAGAGTGAAGGCAAGACGAAGAGCAAAAAGAAGACGTAGCCAGAACTTAGAGATGTAATGTTATTCTCGTTTAGGATCTGGGGAAAATGCAATGTTAATTAAAGTGTTTTTAAGTGGCCCATACCAGCAGCTACCATGCTACCTTGATACCATTTTTCATGATCTGATGGTCATTCACAATTGTATCCCTATCCTGTCTAAGTCCCTAATCTATACCTACCAACTCAATCGGCTCTAGCGTTGACTATACTTCCGCATGACTTCTCAGCCGCAGCTGAACCTCTATACCCTCTTCACTATGTTAGAAAAATACCATCTCGCGATATGTCTTGGACTTTGTTTTTGATTAAATACAACTAATAATCTGATTATATGTTGCCCAAGTAAAAGATAATATTTAGTTAAGACCCCTTGGCCATAATGACCGAATCACAACTAGACGGCGAAGTCAACCTATGCGACTTCTGCCGCTCAGTCGACTGGGCACAAATAACAACTAGCCTCTTCAACCCTCACAAAGCCGCCCTCGAAAACGGGCAGCTCAAAAATGGCGAGCACAATCTCGGGACAATCCGTACAGCAGCAGCAATCTGCGATCTATGCAACCTGATCTCAGGCGGCTCCCACAACTTAAAGCCATGGTGGCCCGTCGCAGAATTTCTCGACCAGCCAGACCGTCTCACATGCGCCTTCTGGAGCAGCCGGAACCGGCTCGGGTCCTCGGTGCTCTCGACCAAGCTGTCGCAGGTAGATGCGCTGCTGGACACGTTTTTCGCGGGTGAGAATCCGGGGTACTCTTCCACGAATATAATTATCCAGGACTTTTACGACTCGCTTGAGCGACGGGGTGTCTTTCTAGATGCTGACAAGGCGGGTGGTGATGGGAGGAGGAGGAATAATAGCTTGAATAAGTTGTTCGTGCTGGTTGGGATTAGCCCGGTTAGGTGGACGGCGCAGACGTTCTTGCAGTTGCATCCGTGTTTGTATCCGATGCCGAGTGTGGATGATTATGTGGCGGTGGAGGAGCCGTTCTCAGTGTTTCCGTCGGGGAGGGTTGTGAAGCCGGAGGTTAATGTTGGGTTGCTTAGGAGGTGGTATGAGACGTGCCTTGAGAAGCACGGGGCAAAGTGCAGTCTGCCTCCCTGGCTCGCGCCAGATACATCGTGGCCCGCAAACTTTCGGCTCATCGATGTACGCCGGCGATGTCTCGTTGACGCGTCAGAGCCGTGCCCCTATTTCGCGCTCAGTTACGTATGGGGCGACGAGATAATGCCCTTCCAAACAAACCTGTCGAATGTTGAGGAAATGAAAACACCAGATTTTCTCAGGAGTCAATCCTTACCGAAGACTATCGTGGATGCGATAGAATTGACTAGGCAGATGGGCGTAGAGTTCCTCTGGGTTGATCGACTGTGTGTCATCCAGGATTCCGAAGCTGATAAAATCGACCAAATTCCTCAGATGGACCTCGTCTATTCAAGGGCGGAATTAACAGTTGTCGCAGCATGCGGCACAGCGACTGATGGGCTTACGGGAATCAACGGCACAACCCGTATTATCAACCAGCGCACAGCGCGTGTCGCTAAAGATCTAACCCTAACAGATGTCTTTCGCCTCGACAAAGAGTACCAGGATAGCCGGTGGAAGACACGGGGATGGACATTCCAAGAGGGTCTCTGCTCTCGCCGGACTCTCATCATTGCTTCCGATCAAGTATTCTGGAGCTGCGAGACTTCCAAATGCTGCGAGACCATTGCCTTCGAGGCCTTTCCCACTGCCGTCGCCCCCAACGACCTCATTTACTCGGTGCTATCCGGTCACGAAGTCTTCGGGGAATTTGGCGGCGGCAACAATTTCGCATACAGCGAGCTAAACTCGATGATCAAGGGATACTGTAATAGAAAGCTTACCGTGCAAGCAGATGTCTTGGATGCGTTTTCAGGGGTACTAAAGAGAGTCGGGGTTAATACGGGACACGAGTTCCACTGGGGCCATTCTGTCTCGACAAGATTTGACGAGGGCTTGGCTTGGAACAATATCGTCTGGTATCGAGATCATGAATGGGAGTCACATGAACTTCCAGAGCGGCGACGGGAATTGCATCGTGTGATATCGAGTGATGGGACGGTTAATAGGGTACAGTTCCCTAGTTGGTCTTGGCTCGGGTGGAATCACATACTAGGGGTGAACCGCGCCGCGCCACGGCAGGTTGTGCTAGAGCCGGAATTGAATATTATGAAGCTTAGTACGGACGGAAAAGCGGCTCCGTTGTGTTCTATATCGAACGAGAAAACATTTGAGTCCGTATCGAAGATCGACATGTGCGGTGTTGATAATACGACTTCGGCGGGCTGGAAGGGAAACACGACGATCGACCCTAGCTTATTACACCAGAACACCGAAGACGGAGATTTCAAGGATTCGGGTCGTCTTCTCTTTTGGACGAGCCATGCGGTGCTAATCTTGGAAGAAAATAAGATATATAATGACAAAAAAGAGGAGGTTGGCGAACTAAACCCCTTCCTACCCTATCAGGCACCCAAACTCTCCGGCAAGCATTCGTTTATTGTAGTGTCGCGAAAGCACAACGATAATAGTCTCAAGGTTCTCAAGGCGGAGAGAAAACTTAATGTCTTAGTCGTAGAGTGGGATGACCCTGTTAGGCGTGTTGCTTCGCGGGTTTGTACGGGTGAAGTTAACGAAGAGGCTTGGGTTGGACTTGTGGAAGAACGAGAGTGGATATTAGTGACGTTGGCATAGTCTGTGATATACATTTCAACTTGTTTAAGGCAAGGCATGGTATTTGATTAAGTGTATATGTTCCCATGGGCGTCTCCTGGCTAGAGTAGCAATATCGTGATATTTTACAATTAGGCAGCCTATGTCGTAAAGATACTGGAGTAGACAACTAAACTGACAGTAAGTATATTTAAAAAGTAAAAAAAGCAAAAACGAAAGACTCATGAGAGGTAAAAAGAGAAAAGATGAAAAAAGAAAAAGAAAAAAAAACCGTTGGAGTTAATCGAAGACTCGAACTCGAACCACACGCCAAAGAAAAAAAGAAAAAAAAAATAACCCGGAGATACGCCATGACCCAGCAGGCAGCGACTCCCGGAGAAATGCAGCGACCCGGCAGAAGTGTGAAGTTCTGGAGAAGCGCGATGACCCAGCGGTAGTTTCAAATTCCTGGAGAAACGCAGTGTCCCAGCAAGCCGCTTTACCGCTAGACCACGAGGGCTTTGCGGTAAACAAGTTACTTTGGTGGGCTGCTATTCCGATATAAACGCATCCTGTAGCGAGTGTAGAGCAGCTGGCGTACAGTCACGCAGGTGGCCTATGCATTGGTACATTGGGTAAGGTATCTACCTGTGTATGTAGGTATGTGTGTACTTCCCTCTACATAGTGAAAACACGTCACGAATTTAAATACCAAATTTATTATCGCATACCTAAGGTAGGGAAGAGAATATCCAAATCAAAAAGCCCCCTGGAAATAACCAAATACCCCCCCCTTTCCCTTCCCCCTATTGCCCTTCAACACCGGCCGGTTGCAGAAATACATGATGAGATGACATTCTTACTTAGTCCCCTCGCTATTGATAGACTAAGACGTCAAGTTCAGTCCAACTCCTGATCTACATCAACCCATCCGTCAGATTCGTTGGATATGTCAGGTTCGTCGGATTCGTCGGACTCGTCGGACTCGTCATATTCATCTCCTGATCGTTCGGGTGCTTCAGTAGTCTGATAAGTCGACAGTCGTCGTTCTTCAATATGAACCATCTCGCTGTACTCGATCACCCGCATGGTGGCAAAGTTTCTGGGGCTGTACTTGGTGAGAACACTCATCGACCAGGGGATAAGGGACCCGTTCCGTGCTATGACGCTCTCGGTCGTCTCGGTCAGCCACGGGTCCGTGTGTTCAGACCTAAAGATGCTATCGATCCGGTATGACCGCCACTCCGTGTTGAACCAGCCCGAGCTACGGGTTCCGCTCACGCCCCGGAAGTCGCGCGTGAGCCAGTGCGCGAACTCCCCGTGCGTCACGACCACGATGTGCGCATCGTCTTTGCCGGCCTCGATGGCCTTTCTCGCTAGCATCCGTAGGTATTGACGTGCGGATCGCGCTCGTGCCTCGACTTTGTACACCTCTGGCGCGTAAGGGGTATCGAAACCCTTGCGATACCAATATTCGTTAAGGTCATCCATATCCACGTTATGGCCATCGTTGTATCGAGAGAAGAGCGCGCTCTTCGAAATTCCCGTGCTGCTTGGTGCGGGGCTGATCTCCTGTAGATCGGGGAGTAGTTTGATCTTGATGTGGTCATTCACCGTTGGAAGAACCCCGAGTATCGCGGTGTCGATGGCACGTCGTAAGGGAGACGAGACGATATTGGTGACCATGGATCCGAACGGAAATGTCTCTCTTAAAATATCACATTCCGCAACGCCGCTATCAGTTAGTACCGCATCCCTAACGTGACTCCCGTAGACATTATGGGCAGCCTGCCCATGGCGAATAATGTCGATAGTAGGCGCCATCCCGATAATTAGATGTTGGTACTCTCAGCAGATTTTCCCCGAGAATACCCAGTGGGAAATATGTACGCCTGGCGTTTCTATCGATGCTTCAGGTGGGCATCCTCTCGTCTTTAAATGGTTTTCCTATGAAGAGAAGATTTGCCCCAACGCATAGCAACACGATCCTTAGGGAAACAAGATTGTCAGGCATGAAAAGTTAACAAGAAACTTCTCGCACCAACGTCTATTCTCATAACTGAAGCTTCTTTGTTGGACATGGCAACAAACTTGGGCCATGTAGTTTAACTGATCCTATTCGCTGAATTACATCTGTGAGACAAGTAGCAAGATTAGTATATGGTTGGTTCATACATAGGGGTAAATATCTGGTTTCATTTGGGGCGAAAGGGTAAGCGTCTGACGATTGAATTTATAGTCTTCGGAAGGAAAACTACCAGGTCAATTATGGCGTGACGTACAAGAGATTCGGTAACCCGCCAAGTCCAATTTACGGATAATTCTTTACATTCTCATAAGGAGTATATACTACTATAAGGGGTAGGGCTTAAAGGGTTGATAAGTGCATTATACATATAATCTTAATCAACTTGCGGTTTAAACGGGGATTGTAAAAGAGGTTCACAGTTTAGTATAGAATACCTATACAAAGACATTGAAACGCACAAGTTTCAAAAACTTACAAATTCTATAGGCGAGGGTTATAGTGCTCTGCAGAAATTTGTAACAGTGCATTGCCAAGTCCTAACTCAAATAAGGTTGAAGAGCCTCCTTTCCCTTCACTCTTAATGAGGTCCTTGCACAGTGGACTGTAACAATATTACCCCAGATTATCAAACGGAATTATAACTTAAATATCTTTGTCAAGAATGTATAGACTAAAACGTCTAGGATCTACCTGGGCCGAAGCTCAGAGTATACGTGGGTGGTTAGTTTATTTGATACTTGATGGCGACGTAAGTTCTCAACCAGCACTAATAACATTTACTTATTACCATTACTTTATGGTTACGTCATAGTTTATGAAGAATAAATTGTATATAATAAGATACTAATCTGATGCTACTCCAATAGTTATTAGTCCTTGCGCTCCTCATATCTCGTCATCTTAGCCCTGGCACTATACCATATCGTCACCACGATCTCTATCTCCAGGGATGTGGGGAGTGTTTTGAGGTTCTCTGGCAACTTGGCTTGTCGTACCATCGGGAGACCTCTCAGAATGTACACTAGAATGGCTACCCATAACTCCACTTCCTGTAACAGGGCCTGGTAGTGTCTCTTTCTCATTGTTCGAGTGCCCTTTTCTCCAACCAGCCCTATTTGTGAACACTAGGTCTGAGATTTCCCAACCATTTGTCGCAGGTATGAACGCAGCCCCTCGATTCAGAGGGATGTGGTTGATGCGCCAATCCCAAACGCTTGCATATACTGTGCGATAGGATGAGATCGCTAAGACGGTGCCTATGATGGCACCTGCGAGAATATCATACCAATTATGGGATCCGTCGACTGTCAAAGACCCGCAAATGAGGGTGGCTCCCAGGATCGGACAGTAGACTAGGACTAGCTTCCACATGGAGGGATGGTAGTTGGCAAAGACTTTCAGCTTCGCATTGATGTATAGGAAAATGTAAACGGCTGCCGCACAGGAGGTTGTTGAATGGCCGCTCGGGAAACTTTGCATCGCATTCCAAAGGGGCCGGCCCTGGCCACTTGTACAAATTTCCGAGGTATACATGTATTGTCTATAGCCAACAGCGTTTAAACCCGTCACATCAACATCTGAGTTACCAGCAAGACTAGGATCGGGCTGACAGACGTCATAAAAGTTTGGTCTCAGACCGCCAATAAGCCATTTGATCGTGACTTGGAATGCGGCTGATGTCTCGAGCGCATATATGCAACCGATAATAGAATTGTTGAGATCCCAAAAGCTCTGGATGCGAATTTGAATAAACAAGAATGTGAAAAGAGGGATCACGGTTACGAGGACCGTATCTACCCAAGAGGAAATAAATTGAGGACGGTATGGGTACGCGAATTCGGGGTAAACGACCTCGCCGGTGTCTTCGCCGGTACGTGCATCGATGACCGTCAAGGGGAAGGTTCGTACTCCAGCAGGGCGAAGAGCATAGACCTGCACGATGTTGGAACGTTATACTTGGTACACCAGGGGGCTTGTTGCACTTACGCCAAAGGCTACTACGCCAAGGAGAAGCATGGTTACGATGTCGGGCCAAGTGACTCTCAACCACAAGCCAAACGAAGGCCGTTTCTCAATGGAATATGGCTCAGGCGGCGAATTCCACCATCTATAGAATTCCCTTGTTCTTGGTGGATTCCGAGGGGGACGATTGCGAGAGACTCTTCTACCTCCCACGTACGGATCCATCGAAAGGAGGCCTAGCCATAGGTCGAATAGTAAAGCTATTAGTTTGCCGAAGGGTCGACTTTGCAAGCTAGGTTGGGTAAGACATTTTGTCAATTATTTCAACCGAGCAGCTAAATATTCAAGAATAAATGCAGGGCCTACTGGAGAGTAACTTTACGTAGCTAGGTAATATCGATGAATTAGCATCGCGACTAACTAAAGTCATGCGCCTTGTAATGCCCAACGCCATTACTCTTTCTATAAGACGAAAACTTGAGCGGTATATGGCTTCCTTAGCGACGGGCTATTTGGCCTACGTATTTTAGGTATAAGAAAGTTTAGGTAAGTTCCCCCCTATTCATCCTACATGTATGATTTTATTCTGATAAGCTCTCTTTAATGCATATTTACCTTTCACCTAATTACGTATTAACCTAAGTAATTAGGTAGCTTTATCTTCAATAAGTGGATCGTATCAAGTTATACAAATTGAATCCGCGCTATATCCTCATTCGAATGACACTCTTATCAGAGCCGGACAAGCTTAACTGTAGATCGTATCTAGACCCCGCGCATACCCATGGTATGGTAATCTTCAAAGAGCATAGCATCAATTGCTTAGCTCTTATCTCAGCAACCTGCTTTCCGGGGTACTGATTGTGACGGGGGTAACGATCCTCCGCCAGATTACAGAGTTCAATCCCAGCCACTTACTTCTATTCAAACCGACAAACAATATTAATTGATTTCTCATATCTTTAATTGATGTTGGATTCTTAACTGATATCTAAGGACTTGTATATATTGCAAAAAGGAGTGGTCTTGTGTTTCTGACAAATTATTGTCAAATTGTAGAAATGTGGAGTTATAGCATATCTTGTATACTTGCCCTCAGCAGCTTGGGGTATGCTGTTCCGGTAAGTTTCGTGATTTTAAATACGGAACCGTCCTTGTTTTCTCTGACCGCGATGTATAGTATTCCAACCAGTTACATAAGAAAACAGCGCTCGTCATCATTGATGTGCAGAACGACTTCATCAACGGCTCTTTAGCCAATCCGCGAGCTCCTGCTATCCTACCTAAAATCTATCAACTCCTGGATAATCATGAGTGGCCTTTTGTTGTCGCTTCTCAAGGTAATGTCCATTTTCAAGCCAATAGTTGCATGTAGTCTAACAATTGTTTAGACTGGCATCCTAAAGGACATGTCTCGTTCTTCTCAAGTCATCCTGGTAAAATCTCCGGAGACACTGTGAACGACAGCTTCGTAGACACTCCTACGAAGATCGAAACACAGACTCTATACGCGGACCACTGTGTTCCGGAGACGTGGGGTGCTGAGATAGAGCGTGGCATTCAGACGCGATTGCATTTTCTCGAAGGCTACCGCGCCCCCGTCAATTACATCAAGAAGGCGCAAGATCACTCTGTCGACTCATACTCGGCTTTCGCTGATAACCAGTACCACCGCTTCACCACTCTACACTCCGAGTTGACTTTGCATAGCATCGAGACTATAGTCGTAACGGGGCTCTTGACGAGTGCATGCGTGCGTGGAACGAGTATCGATGGAATCAAGCTTGGATACGAAGTCGTGCTCATAGAGGACGCCACTGAATCTTTTAACGCCGAGGACAAGGCCTCGGCTATCAAGGAGCTACAGGGTTGGGGAGTGCAGGTTATGAATCTGACAGATTGGGAGTGCGCACACCCTACCCCAGCAAAATTCGGGACGAGGGAATTGTAATTATAAGATTCTTGTATTATAGGCGTGGCTTGTCTCAGCCCGTGGGGTCTAAAGTGCCCATGATAATAGGCGTGTCATGACGAAATAGGGAATATTTTATGGAAAGAACAGGCATATCAACCCGTATGTACGAATGTTGGATAGTTCCAGTAATTGCGAAGGGGGTGAATACGAGAAGTCGAGGGCCGAGGAAACCACACTTGGCCAGTTGAAAACACTGATATTGGAATCGGATGATGAGATGGTGAAAGCTGTGGGTGTATTAAGCACGGTAAATTAGAGGAACATATATCTCAAGATGCAACTCGACTTCCTACCTACTTGAACTGCATGTTGACTTTTCAACCCGACTTCAATACCTCAAATAAGCAATATAATCCTGTTCCTAGAGGCCATATACATCCAAACCAAGCCTCGACCTAAGTTACACAACGCAATAGGATTGTAACTCATCACAACTTTCCCGCCCCTAAGCTGCTTTAAATTTACGGGCGATAATAGTTTCCAAATACCCAACAACCCCTACAAGATTAAACGCTAGAAAAGAAAGCCCATAGAACTTGACATACAACATACACAATCTATTACGCGTAGCGCGTGACACGGATTGTGATGCCTCATGCGTAGAGATATACTCCTTGCCCTCGGCTTTCTGTTGATCGAACACCGGGTCCAACAAGATAATCGGTCGATCTTCCTCGGGGAGAAGGGAAGCTTGTACGCGAGCTAGGACAACCTTGGCCGGGATAATAGCGACGAATGTATATACTGTGTGGAAAATCAAGAGTAGCAAGATACCGATCGGTGTAAGGCCAACTATGCTAGTTACTATCGATCCAACTACCACCTGCTCGAATCCTGTAATGCTACCGAGAATCACAGTGGGGATAGCAGTAGCGCGAAGCACAAGATTAAATCGCGGTAGACGACGCCAAAATGGCTTCGCGCTGGGCTCCGAAATAACAATGTGCGTCCATGCCGCGCGGAGCTGCATAGTGAGTAGTGACGCGATGCAAGCAGAAGCTATCTTGGGCATAAATGGGATCAGGCCGAGAAGAAATGTAATCGGATAGTCAGCAAGACGGTAGGCTACGAAGCAGGAAAGCCCTCGAAAAAGGGACTTCTTGCCATCGATAGAGAGCAGACGATGACAAGTAGAACGAAGACTAGATGTGATTGGCCGTGCTGACATGCCAGGGTATTTAGGACCCTCAGTTTCTTCATCTATTATCTCCCCGGGTACTTGAGTATAAGATGCAGGAGCATCAGTTTCGACGGAAGCCAATACCAGGAAGACATCTCCCAGAACATACGAAAACTGCGGCAATTAATAAGAGAGTATTTACATACAACATCATCGGAGTCACGTACTGCAAGGAAAAGCAAGGCGGCTATGGCGACCTGGATACCTTCAACAACGCTGAAGGCATTGAATGTCCCCTCGCCAGGCTTCTCGGCACGAGATACCAGGGCCTCTATAGACCGTTTGGAAAAGGATATGTCAAGCACATCTCCTTGAACAATGCGTCGAACCATAGTAGGCCATAAGCCGTGAATAGCGATCATGATGTTGGTCGTTTAAATAGTCTCGAGGGAAAACGAATTCATGGATGGACGTTAGATTAGGATGGACGATTGTAGAGGTTCTAAGGCGGGGTTGCCAGCTTTTATTATGTTTGTCATTGGGTGGAAGGGAACGCTGAAAGCTGATACCTGGTTTAAGACCGTACCGTAAATAGATCCTGTCCGACGTGAAAAAGTAAGCGCGCGAGATGTGTCATATTCGGTGGTTCGACTGGAGGCCTTAGACCACGAGAGCCTCCTAGATTAACGATGTTATGATTGGTGTGATTGGTGTGATGTGGCTTTGTTTCATTAATACGATATCGGTAATAATGACTGTATTTAAAGCCAAGATAAAAGGATTCACTATTTCTGATAGGACCTCGTAGGGCGTAAGTTGTTACTTAATATTTGCTGTATCAAAACTACGAGCTGCAGCTGCACTGCATAGCCCGACCTAGCCTTGGGACATCACTTGTCCACCGCGTCTCTTCATCTATATCACCCTTATATTGCTTGCCGTCGATTGTGCGACCGGCCCAGCTCTCCTCAAACGGGTGTAGAGCCATATGCATGATTCTATCCAGAACGTCTCTTTCGTTGTTCTTCTCTACTCGCTTAATAACTTCATCGAGGATCCAGCCTCGCGGAACGAAGTTTGGGTTGACTTTCTTCATGGCTTGCATTCGCTCCTTATCTTGCTCGTCGGAGATAGTTTGGCCATCTCCCCAGTTTTCGAGAATACGTTGCCGCCACTTTTTCAGCCACTCGCCGACTTGTTTACGTCCCTCGGCTTCTCCACCAGCGCCTGTGACACCGTCGCTGTAAAAGAAAACGCCTGCTCTATCCTGCCGAGCTTCCTCCGTCTCGAGCTCGTCAACTTTGACTAGACTTAAACGGCGGAAGAAAAGGTTAAAGTCTAGCTCCAACGATTCCATGGAATCTAAGATGCTGCTGAATAGGTCATCGAAGTCACTATCCTTGTAGGTCTTCAATCCAAATCGGGCTGTCATGAGCCTCTTGTACTCGTCAAGGAACACAGCTTTGTACTCCTCGCCGATTTGCATGATGATTTTTTCGGCTCTCTCGATAATACCGCTCGCCTCCTCTTCTTTTACACCGTCTTCGACGAACTTTGGATCGTCTATTTGTGATCCAGCACCAATTGACTCGCCTAGCGCTTCGCCTAGGCGTACCAGGTTCCACCATATGATGCTTGGCTGATTGCGGTAGCTATACCGCAGCATATAGTCATCGTGATTGGGAGTATAATCGGGATCGAAGTTGTCCATAAATGCAAACGGACCGAAATCAATACTCAACCCAAAAAGGGAAGTATTGTCCGTATTCAGTACACCATTCATAAACCCGTAAGCTTGCCACTTAGCAACGGTAAGTGCGTTGCGCCGCACGATTTCTCGGTACAAGCGCGTGAACCGGTTCTCTGCAAATTCAGGTGGCCCCTCGATCGTGTCCGCTGGAACGTTGCGCTTAGGAGGAGCCGACTCCTTTGGCTTGTCAGGGTCTTCAAGACGACCAGGTAATGTCTCCCAGCCGCCAAATACATCTTCAGCAACATATGTTGCAAGCTTACGAATGAGATCTCTATCACCCCGTGCCCTCAGGATATCAAAGTTACCGATTCGCAGCCAAGATTGCGCAAACCGCGCCACGATAGCGCCGGGTTCAATCGTTTCTCGCCGTACCTTAACTTCCGGAAGCAGCGTCAAACTGAGAGCCCTCGTGGTCGGGATACCAAGCGCATTCAGCGCCTCGCTAACAACGAACTCGCGTATGCTACTTCGAAGAACGGCCTTCCCGTCTGCAAAGCGGCTGTACGGTGTCATCCCCGCGCCTTTTAGTTGTAACTCGTAACGTACACCCTTACTTGGATTTGTAGTCTCGAATAGCGATATAGCGCGCCCATCACCGAGCTGGCTAGCCCACTGACCAAACTGAAAACCCCCGTAGCATTGCGCCCACGGGTAGCCTCCCTCAAGCTTCTCCTCGTCCCATCCCTGCAGTTTGTTACCCGCAACCGTTTGCACGAAATCCTCGGTCTTTTCGTCGCCTTCTTTGATGCCAAGATCGCGCATGGCCGCTGGACTAACTGCTAGAAGCTCGGGCCTCTCGACAGTCTGGGGGCGTACCCATGTGAACAGGGCATCTCGGACCTGCCGCGGAACGATCTGATCGCGGGGTGTCTTGTGCGAATCGGCCGGTGTCGGGAACAGGGAGTCGGGGGGAAGCTTAGATGTGAAGGTCCATGACTTTGGTATCTCGTTTATAGACGATGCCGTAGCATTTGCTGCGTGAGTTGTGGCGCTATTGGTTGAGAATTGGGACGCCATCTGCGCCAATCGTAAGTGTGGTAGACCTCGATGAACAATGCGATGGAAAAGCATACAGACGGCTTCTCCAGGCCGAAATGAATTATGATTTAGGATATATGTAGAATAAAATAACGATTATGGATTCGAGGAAAAAAGTAAATGACATTTAAAAGTGACATTTCGATGATGCTTAGCCTATGAATGAATGAGTGAATAAATGAATGAATGGTGGCGATCTGAGGAATTGCGTCAAATGGATCCCTGTACCTACATAAATTAAGCACCGTTACATCGGAAATCTTCGTTATAAACGATATATGCAATTACCTTATTACTAAAGCTAGTCGTCCCCCCTTTTCTCATATCTCAAGATTCTCACAGCGTCATTTAATAACTATTACCAAGAATACTAAAACTCCATAGCCGGAGCAAAGAAACAAGTTAGATTTTATACGCACACTGGTTATTGAGGCATATTGAAATCCACTATAGCTCTCTTCGGACTATCTAAAATACGATCGACCTACTTACTATTCATTTATGATCATGTCGCTGCGTCTTACTATAGTGGCTTTCGACCACATATCACATAAATATCGTATATAATATAAGTGTCTGAAAAGACCTCCTCCAATGCTTCCTTCTCCAAGAGATCTATCTCCTGGGACGTCATTGCATTTGGAGCTCCTCGCTCGGTCATCAGACGTGCCCACTTGAACGGGGCCTGCATGCCATTTAAAGTAGACTTCTCCCTTGTCTCAGGCACCCTGTCTGAGCTAGCAATATCTTTTATCACTGGATTCAACCCAGCTGCTTGCATGTGTCCAACAAGCTCAATCCACCCGTACGAGAAACTGTCCCGAAGTGCATTGAAAAATACTCGTCTGATAAAAGGAAGAGTTTTAACTTGGAAATCAACACCTCCGCGTAGGTGCTTGAGTCCTATAAAATCACACTCTTCCCATTGCAAGAACCCTCCCGGCTTCAGCATCCGTGTGAGATTTTTGACTGCAGGAGCCCAGCCGTTCTGCAACATGCCCGCTATAAGCATGCGCACATGAACTACATCAAACTTGCCATGCAACTCCTCTGGGACTGGCTGTTTGATATCCAACACAGTCAACGCCAGATTTGGCAGCAGTTCGTTCTTCGGGGGAAAGAGAGCCGGTGATATATCTAAGCCTTTGAGTGTGGCGTTAGGGTACAGTTCCCGTACGCGAAATAGAAATCTACCCGTCCCTGTCGCTATATCCGCAATACACGGGTTTTCTGGGAGAGCAGCGACAACGGAGGGGTGAAGAAGGTAGCCAATATTCTCAGTCACTATATCAAACTGATCATTAAATCTGTCATAACAAGATGTTAAAACGAGTTTACAGCAATCTTCCCAAATCCTGCCACATACCTCTGCGTCTCGCTTTCGTGGCGACTCGTGATTTCTGCGTAACTATCAGCCATGGTGAAGTAGTTAGGAGTTTAAACGAGATAGCTTGGGGAAAACCTGAAAGGAATACCAGAGGGATAACTTAAGGGGTTTTAAAGCGTTCCTAAAGTCGAACATAAAAAGCAAAGGCAAAGGAAGGATAGGTATGTATATTCAATTCCCGAATCAAGTACGCGGGGCTTACGCCTTCCAAGCCTCCTTCAAGCCTCCTTACTTAAAGAGTTGGGACATTATGCAATCACAAAATTCTTAAGACTCGAATCCAAAGAAGGGATGCCGAATCGAGATTTAACACCAATACTCGAACCTGAGTCGTCGAGTTTCTTAGCTCATATTCTACACACTACTTAGGTACATTGAAATTATGTCGCTCTAATCTACTTGTTTATACGCTCAGCTAAGGAACACGAAACTATTAATCGCGAAGCGGATTAATCTAACTAGAAGTCAAGGTTAGTTTCCTCTCCCCTCGGATTCTCTGTTAATTTCTATCAGGGGACAAGTGAGACTAGTATGAATTAGGTATAGATCTACATAGAACAGATATATGCGCAAAGCGCCCTCGAAAGAGGATAGAAGGTTAAGCGTTAATAGATTCATACTACTACACGGCTACTATACAGCAGCTTCGCTGCTGCTTCTAACACTCACTCTACGTATGACATCCATCAAGGGGTATCTCTGACAATTTCTGTGGTCCGAATTTCCCTTGCATCTTGACTGAGAAGATTTACTAGCAAACCCTAGGCGCGCACGGCGGCATTGATTGCTATCGCCGCTGGCATATACTGGGAGATATAATCAAGGGAATCGTCGACGGCATGATATCCTAGCCAATGTATTAAAGATAGAGGTAAGCGGTGACACTGGTTTAGAGATTATGCTTTCACCTTTCCTGTCACACGGACAGTAATGCCAAGAGACTGTTGGTTGAAGAAGACAACCAACAAAGGATACAGGATAACTACTTCAGGATTCATTGGATAAGGAA